GGGAGGTGGGGGGTGGGGAGGGGCGGATGCGACCCGCCGGGGTAATGTCTTGGGCATCAACGCCATGAGGGCGACTACGGTGCATGGCACGGCCAAAAATGTGGGGTGGTAAAGCTCACCGAGCAGGTGTGCGTCTCCCCCCCCCCCGGGGGCTTTGGACTCCAGTAGCAGTTCCTCGCAGCTTTGGATGCCGACATCAACATGGAGCGGCTCCACGCGAGTTGCACCACCCTCCGGGGGTGTGCGGGGCCCATACGCGGCCATAAGTACCACAGCCGCGGGCTGTCCGAGGTAGATGGATAGGTAACATAAAAATGGCGTAAGAAAGGGCTAGTATGCTATTGCTCAGCACGAAAAAACTGCTGAGCAAAAACTGCACGAAAAAAACCAAACGTCCCAGGGGACCGGGGACCGGGGAATCAAGCCAAGGGATGTGCTCCACAGCATCCACACTGGCGGTTGTGTCCCTAGTCGGGTGGCATCAAGGGGAACGTGACTCCGCACCTAGCATGTCTTCTGACTCAGAGGCGGTCAGTCATTGGACTTCAGATGTTAGCTTTGCTGCCTTGCCTTTTCAGGCAAGGGCATTATCAATTATCGTACACGGTGGTTCCTTTCGTACTGAGCCGTGTTGCTATGATGGAAATGATGGAAAAAGGAGGTTAAGGCTAACGACCATCTCACGACGGTTTCAACCCAGCTCACGTTCCCTGTTATCGTGTGAACCATCCAACACTTGATGAATGCTGTGTCATAATGATAGGAAGAGCCGACATCCCTCCCTCCTCCCCCCTACCTCCCCCCTCGCCCCTTTCTCTTACTCGCCAACTATTCGTCGTACCCCCTACCCCCTACCCCTACCCCTACCCCTGGACAGTTCCTGGCTCCAGAAAAGCTGAGGGGTGTGGGGGCCCTGTTGCTGGATAGCCAGGTGCGTATGTATGTATGTATGCAAGTGCACCCAGACAGCCCCCCTTGATTCGGGCCGGTCCCTCGGGCTCCCTGGAGTCATACTGCTTGGCGGCTTAGCTTGTGGCCTCGCTTGGGACGAGGGGGTGGCCGCTCCACCTGATCATGATGTCGAGTTTTACATGCCACGTAACCGCCATCAACGAACCCCAGGCCAACCGTTTTGTGGACGAGCTGGCTCGACGGGACGTGGTTGCAGCTGCCATGATGCAACTACCTGGCCGTAAAGCTTGGCTTCTTCTGGGGAGGGACGCAGGGGCCGAGTACGGCACCAGTGCGCTGGAGTTTTATTGCAAGAGGGGCCTTATGCGCAAGGTGTGATTCTTCGCCAGCACCACCAGCACATCCAACCACCGGTACTGCCCCCCACGACAGGAACGTCATTCCATGATAAGGCCCATCACGAGCTCCGCCCTATCCGTCCAGCCTAGGATGTTGACCTCAGCTGCACTCGCCCATGCCGCCTCCCCGTCTCTAACACAGGGGGCGTGCGAGGGGGCCACACGCGTGTGTCTGTAAGCCCAACCTTGCTCCCGCCCCTGCTGGCTGTCCGTGATGATGTTGTACGGCATTTGCCGCCTCCAGATCCGTCAACTCCTTGGCCTTGAAGGTCCGGTTTTACGTTCCTTAAAGCCGTCTGCCCTCCACGCCTACGTTACAAACATACGTACACACAAACTTTCAAACATACGTACAGGCTGAAAGTCTGTCGGAGGCGGCCGCAGCGATGTCTGTTGCCGAGGACGTCCTGAGGGGGCAGCTGGAGGCGTACGTGAAGGCGGCGACGGCAGGGAGTGATGCGGCCGGCGCCGGGGGCAGGGATCCGTACGGCAAGCGCGTGTTCCCACACCCCCCGGATCCAGATCTTCAACTGCCGCTGTACCTGGCGCAAGTGACGCCCGTGGTGGGTTCTTGGGGACTGGAGCAGGGGGCTCAAGGGGGGAAGTGGGGAGTGCGTCAAGGGCCCATTTGGAGGCGGAGTGGTGTCGTACTTGATGGTGATCGGATGGGGCAGGGATGAGAACCTGGCTCGTTCACCGAAACCCGGGGGGGGGGGGGAAAGGGGAGTTGGGGCCCGGATGGCCCCAGTTGACGTTGGGGTGGCGGTTATATGGATACATACAGAGCTACGCATCCAACGTCGCCCGCTCCTCCCCTCCCTGGTTCCGGGCACATCTCGCATTCCCTGTTTGAGATGGTGACAAAGCTAGCCAGGCTTGACCTGTACGACCACTAGTACGACATCCTCTCAGTACCTCCAGCACAGTGTACAGTAGCTACAGCTCATCTGCACTATACGCTGGACATCAAGGGCCTTAAGAACAATATCACGACACGACACGACACGACGACTGCACGACAATAAATGTCGGTAACGTAGCAATGGGCTTTACTTCCCGAACCACGGGTCAGTGACTCATCGCGATGCACTCACTGGGCGCAGTTTCGGACTCTGGACGCCTTCCGGCAGTCAGGCAGCTCATTTCGGAGTTTCTTGCATCACAAGATTTCCTGTTGAACTCGCTGCTCCACTCTTCCGCTCTTTTACCCTCCACCCTCCCCCGTCACTCCGCGCCAGGTTCACTACACCATGGGCGGAGTGGCCATTAATGAAAGGGCCGAGGTGCTGCGAGCAGGGCCAGGAGGGGACCCGGATGGTTCCGGAGCTACCGTCAAGGGGCTGTATGCGGCAGGGGAGGTTAGCGGAGGGTGAGTGGCCTGGAAGGTGCGAAATAACGGGACCTGGGGGGTAGTGGTTCGGGTGAGCGGTTGGAACCCTTACGTCACTACAACGAACATGAGTTTTTCCTGATGGGGAGGAATGTGCTGACTGCGGGCGGGGTGGGGCGGGGTACCCTAGGGCGAAGCTGTTCATCGCACCCTACGAGTTCTTCGTCGTGTGCCCGGTAAGGAAGTGCTGCTGGTGCTGCTGGTGCTGGTGCTGGTGCTGCTGGTGCTGGTGCTGGTGCTGCTGGTGCTGCTGGTGCTGGCTGGTGCTGCTGGTGCTGGTGCTGTTGTTGTGTAGCTGCTGACCTCCCCTCTGGGGCCCCGGGCTGTGTGGCTTTTGGGTTGTGGGGAGGCTGTGATGCTGGGGGACGGCTGTGTCGTGTCCGAAGCGCACTGTAGGGACAGCATGGTACGTCCTGACTGGCACGTGAGCTTGGCGACACGAGGCGCAGCGGCGCGCACATGCTTCGTGCCCCATGACCACAAATTCTATAAATCTTGCCATCGCTGCTGCCTCCGTCACTTAGGTGGTCAACTCCTCTTAGCTGCCGTCCTTGTTCTTTACGTTTTGAATACGACTTTTCCCTCCCTCCATTTCCCCCCTCCTTCCTAAAACCAACCCCGATCCCCCAGACTTCACGGTCACAATCGCCTGGGTGGTAACTCGCTGCTTGAGTGCACTGTGTTTGGCCGCATCGCCGGGGCACAGGCGGCCAAATGCACCGTTCGCTAAAGCACCGACCTGCACAAACCCCCCGAGCCGGAGTTCGGTAGATGTAGTTTTTCCTAGATCTAGAAAGATGGGTTTCCTGTCAACCTAGGCTAGGGAAGATGGCTTTCTAGTCTAGCGCTTGCGGGCCCAGGGCTGCCCGGAGCTAGGCAGACTTTCAGAGGGGGGTGGGGTGAAGGACGCGGCAATCAGACAGGAGTATGCAGGTGCGGACTGGGTCCATTTGAGGGTGTTAGATGTGGCGGGGGAAGCCTGTATCTTCTTGTGCGGGCTGACATCCTAGGACTGTGACGTTCGAGCATGTGGTATGTGCTGCCCTGTCAGCGCAAGATATCCAGGCAACGTTGAAGCACAGACAATGTATGGCCGAGATACAGGTTCTTTTCATGTAAATCTTTGCAATACGTGGCGAAACGCAAACGCTGATGTCAAAGTTCGCGCGAACACAAACGGGCTGTTCTGACCAGGACCGTTAGGTACCCACTTGCATACTGCAGAATGAAGGCCTCCATTTTATGGCTTTCATATATTCAGTATGTTATATAAGTTCCTGACTTCGCCAGCAGTCCTGATAGAAACATTGGATGTGCACGATGTTTTGGTTTCCCTCTGTACGGCAACATCGTACTGCGACTTGCTCCGAACTTTTGTGTGCCTTCGCCCGGTGATGCATTTCGTCTGTAACTCCGATGTTAGCGTAGTTTATGAAAGCGCAGGGCAGGTGTCATCCGCAAGCACTAGATTAGCTGTTAAGCTTTCGGTCTACCTTGTTGACTGGCGTGACCAAGCGCATCATTTTATGGGCAGAGCCTCTACATCTAATTCATCTAAATTAATCTATAGATCGAGTCTTTTCGGCGGGGGTTCGGCAGGCGGCGCGACAAGCTGTCGCAGGCAGAGTCAGTACAGGCATCTGCACGCGCTATTCTACAGGTGCACAGCTTTGGAACACGTGTCTAGGTAGAATGACTTGTGTACTGGTGTTTCTTCAGCGGGTTAGCGTGCTATCCTGTGCTACGCACGGCAAGAGTCAACGTCCTTCGGTGACCTGGAAGGATCGGACCACCATCCCCAGACACCAACTCACGTAGCCACCATATAGTCCATCTATATGTTGCCTTATCAGGTCTTTTTAAATTTGCTGCAGGCAAAGACCCATAGTTGGGGCATGTCAGCGAGTCCTATTCGCCTTGTGAAGAGGTACCTATGTGTTAAGAAATTAACAGTCCACGATGGCTTCACGAATAAATCAGTCAAGCTTCCAAGGGCGGAGGCTCGCTTCTTCATGGGAGAATTGCGCAATCGCCAAGCCATGCCCTTGGTGAGGTTACCCCAAAGCGTCACCCTCCAGAGGGGTGCGTCCGTCTGCCATCACAGTGTTGAAACCTTGCCATTATGCAATACAATTGTATTGCAATACTGCAGGTATTGCTTGATGAAGAAGGCAATTGCTGGGAGCTGCTGTGTACGTGCAACGGGGCGCAGTACGCCCTATCACGCATCGGTTAGTGCCGCTCAGTGACTCCCACTGAATGTTGCGAGCATTGACATCGTAATCCGCCTGGCTTCACAGGCCCTTTCTGTGAGGCGCACGGCGCACGCCCCGGAAGCTACTTCATTTTTTACGCGGATCACGAGCACATCGTGGTGGGTTCAGTACGCGTTGAATGTTCGGATTTGTGTAACAATCTCTGCAGTCTTGGAGCAAATGGAGGCCCTGTCCCCACTCAACCCGCACGGGGCTCATAAACGGCACGGCCGTAGTGCAATGAGGACGGTCCATGCGCTCAGTTCCTTTTTTTCCCGCTTTACAGAGACTTGCTGTCCGCCAGCAACTTCCCGAGGACGTGCAAGCTGCCATCGCAGCGGCTCGTGCAGCAGCCATGGTAATCCGATCTTCCCCTCCACGCGCTACAACCCCGCCATCACCACAAGAGCAGCAGCAAGTGCCGCAGCCGGTAGCCAACTGCGTGAGTAGCTCAACTGCATTATTGCCCCCAGACCAAATCCCAACGCCTGCGCTTGATGACCCCATGGCGCTGGATGAGATGCCCCTGGACGATGCCGGCACTGTTGCCGAGGACTTGCATGCCTCAGCGGTTTCCGCCGTGTCCATGGTCGCCAAACAGTTTGTAGGCCCAGAGCCACCAAGGTCCATGCCCCTGCAAGACAGGTCGAACCTTCCCGCGGGGATTCCTCGGTCCGATGCATTGGGTAGCGGCTCTAAGCCCAAGCCGGCAGCAGGAAAACCTGGCCTCTCGTTGTCAGTCGTGGGCTCTACCACTACTACACGGGGCCCAGTTGTGGACAAGGAGAATGACTCGAGTGCGTTTATCGCTGCTCCGGGTGAGAAGACACAGCCCAGTCCATCAGTCCTCCCAATCGTTTCCACGGGAGGTCTGCAGGTGCCAGCACCGGCCACTAGCCGCGGTCCGCTGCAACCGCCGCCGCCACCGGCCCCTCAGCCTGTGCAGCCGCAGCCGCCCGCACCCAGCTCCCCCTCTCCTCGCTCGCCGCCACTGGCCCAACCGCCACCGCCCGCTACACGGCTGCGTTTGCGTTTCGAGGCGCGCCTCCGCGCCCAGGCCGGCCGGCTGCACCCGCTGAGTATGTGCAACGGTCCAGAATCGCTGCCACCGAGCCCGCCCGGCTACTGTGGAGTCCATGCGTGGCCTGGAGCTCTTTCTGGCGTCTATCCGCTGCATGCAATCACGGCCTTTATGGGCAGCAGCAGCAACTGCGGCAACATGCAGCCCGCCCCCTGCGTTGCGACTGGAGCATGGAGCCATCTCGCTAATGGCTTCGATGCTGAAGTTACCGCGGGAGATATGTATCAGCAGGAAGACCCGACAAGGCCGTGCACGGCAGACACCCGCAACAGGATGGGAACTGGTTGCCTCCAACCCACATTCAGTATCGCGCCGCAAAGGCCGCCGCCGCATCAACAGCAGGAACTGGCGGGGCAAAGCATCACTGCCGCTGCACTTGCAGCGCAGCAGCAGCATTGCGAGGATTGGCGCTACCAGCTGCACTGCGACGAGCTGCTGGACTGGGAGGTGGGCAGGAGGGCGGCCTGTAGTGGGGCGGCCGTGGATAAGCCGGCAGGCTTAACAGCAGCAGGGCAGCACACTGGACCACGGTACCCTGTGCAGTCCTCGGCCCCACCGCCGCCACCATCACTGCGTGACACTACACCGCTGGCCGGACCCATGGCAGCACCCAAAGTGAACTTAGGCCTCCTGCGTCAACTGCTGCTGCTGCACGGCGGCCACCCGGGTATCCAGCCTTACACCGGGCCTGGGCATGCTGACAGCGGCGCAGCGGGGCAACTGCAACAAGGGGCTGGTCTGGAGGTTACGCACGGGCAGAGTCCTCAGTTGTCAAGTCCCCGACAGGCTGGGGCGCTGCACCCGTGTGCTGCAACCAGTTCCACACTTCGGCAGCTGCTCAACATGTCGACTGCCTGGGACCTCGCTCCTATGTCGGGCGCAGCTGTTGGCCACTTGGGACAGCCAGCCAAGAGCTCTCCGCAATTTCCACACAACGAAACGAGCTCGCTCTCAGCATACAGCCTACGTGTGGCTGTGGGAGCCGACGTTCCGCCGGTGCGTCAGCACAGCATGCTTGGAGACCCGCCGCCACCGCCCAAATTGCGCCTATCGAACAGACACGAGGAAGACCTGGACAACCAGATGGACGTCGATTGGTGTGCGGAGTCGGAGCAGGAGCCGGAGGCCAGCACATTGGACGGCAATGGAGCCCGGCCCAAGTCTGCCCTCTCCATTGGACGGGAGAGGGATGCCGTTGGGTTTCCTGACGAACCAAGCTGCAAGCGCCAGAGGTTGTCGCCCCGGCATCTGCTAGTCCGCAAGGTGCTGACTGCCCATGATCTTTTGACAGACCGTGTGGTGCTGTCCATGCCGCCGGCAGCATGTAATTTAGTGATCAGCCCGCTACGGGAGCAGGTGGACCTGGCGGGCGTGTCGCTATCAGAACTTCACAAGCAGCCAGTGAGCAGAGTAGATAGGAACGCCAGCAGACTGGTAACAACAGCGATGTCGCTGGACTGCAGTACGCCGCAGCGGCAGCAGCAGTACCAGGCACCAGAGCTGCAAGGCAGCTCGCTTCGCCTGTCGGTAGTTGTTATGGTTGAGAGTGGTGCGCGTTATAATGGTGTAATGGTATTATGCGGACCTTGCGGAAACACGTCAGCCCGCGAATGGGTGCTCCAAGGCCTCCGGCCCTACCTTATCCGGCGCCAGGCGGGTGTGGGGGACGTGCTGACCCTTAGTGTAGACGACACCGACCAGCAGGCGGGCGGCAGCTTGAGGCTCGTTGCGCAGCTCCTGCAGTGCAAAGCGGCCTGATGGAGAATGGCATGCCGCTGAAAGGTTGCTGTGACTGCTATCGCGATGCCAGCTGGCCTCGCGTCATCATTATCAGACAAGTGTACAAATGTTCCGTGATGTGAACGTTGCGGTGTCCACACAATGTTCCGACGGAGTGTTGGTGAGAAAGGAGGTGGCCCGTCTGTATGATATGATCCACGGTTGCACGGTGTGGCAGGCGTTGGCAAGCAAACACCCAGACGGACCTCACCAAAAAATGGCTGTCCTTTTCCGCGATGATTGGATTCCTGAGTAGTGTGGCCGAGCCTGCCTAGGGTCACGCTTTGCGTTGGCGAACGTGCGACGCGACACAGGTTCATCCTATGTTCGCTGATACCGCACGACCAACGCGATGTGACTGCAGTGGCATCTTGCTTACTGAAAGCATGTTTCCCGTCTGCCGCCGGCATGATGTGTGTGCGTGTGTGTTACAGGAGAGGAGAGCTAAGGCAATTAACCACTGTCACTGCTTGAGTGATGATGACTAACGGTGGCCGTACAGTAAAGTATCATAAAACTAACATGGTCCATTTGCAAGTGACCGCAGAGATTTTTCAATTTCTAGCCAGGACGTCCCTGCACATAAGGTGACGAGACAAATGACGAAGACCGAGGGTGTAGCAAGTTTGAGGACATAGTAAAGGTGATCTCCGAGGTGGTTATTGCCGCAATGGTTATTGTATGCTTGACCAAGTTTATTAATACATGCATGGAGGCTAGGCGGCATGACTCTTCCAGGATAGATAGAAGAGTTTTACGACGCGCATAGCACGTACTTCGCAGCTCAACCACCCCATATGGCTAAAATGGTCTCAGTGCGCCGAGTCGCTGCACGGTGGCGTTGTAGGCTTAGTAAGTGTTGTCATGTGCGAAGAAATCGAGGCTAGAACAGGCACTTAGGTTGTCCGCAAGCATGCATCACTTGTAGTACTCCAGACGTACGCATGTTTTTGTCACGGGCAGTAGTGTGTGAACTGGCAAAGTGATATAGTTTCCACGGCGTGTCCGTGTGTGACGGCTCAGTGATGTGGTCATGGTTGATTTAGCTTTTTGGCCTCCTCGTAGCGTACTGCCCAGTCAATTCGCGAAACATGGAAAAACCGGGCTATTTACCTTCACGTCCGATGTCTGTGCTCTTGTAAAGATCCTTAGTTCGCATCAGGAATGCTGCTGAGCTCCGGGCACGCCCCTTGCGGCGGTCACTTCCTAGTTGCCTTGCCGGCACAGGACAACCCATATATTGTACGGCTGCCAAGTAGAGACGGGTGGCACAGAAAATGTCAAGCAGGAATGAATTTCACGCAGCGATTAACATGCGCTGCAGAAAACCCTGACATAGTAGACGGATGGACACAATGTTGAGCCAAATTCCAGATCATTCCGAGATGGGCCAGCATGCGTGGGGCGCCGCAACTCAGCGTTGCTAAATCAAATCAGGCCGAACTGCATCAACCACCTTGCCTTGAGGTACACTGTCTCTCCTCCGTCAGGCGGCACTGTCCTTCACCCATACGCTTACCGCAGCAGGACAGGTTCAGCTCGTCCACGGCAACACCTCACCATACACGCAGCGGCAGAAGGAAAATCCTTATCCATGAGGCGCCGCGGAAAGCATTTGCCAGCGCAAAAGAAACAAAATGAAATTGCACAAGTGCACACTCTTTGGATTCCGTACTGGCATAATGATTAATATCTCCCCCGCAGCTGCGCTATATTGCTCACCGCTGGCAGGACGATAACTCTGCATGCTTCTCATTGCGCACATAGCAACATGTGGCTGAAGGGCTACTGGGCTCGTGGCTGCAGTCGTCCTCCGGCTGGCATAAAATCCAAGTATCGTCCTCTCTCCGCGCACTTCATACCATACGTAGCTCACAACGATACAACTCTCGAAAACAGAAAACATGAAAAGTGACATCTACTTTGGATGTCCTTGTTGGGGATTTGGATTCTGGGCCATCCACCGCAGAGCATAACCTCACATCAGCGGAGGAACGAATTGCACAAATAAAACTCCCCAAAACGTCATCCTAACAAACGACTTTCGCAACGTCATATATCGAAAGGGAAAAGGAACTCAGAAAGCGAAACCTCAAACTCACAGAGAAGAGCCAAACAAACAGCAAAAGGGGACCGTGCGACCCCCGTTCATTAAAGCATCAAACCTCATGCTTAAACCTCGCAACAATGACTCATGTGCCAAGATGCCATTTTATGAACCCTGTACGCAGCTCGTGGGCCTGAGACTCCTCTCGATCTCCAGCTATTCGCCACTCACTGGGCCCCTCATGCACTCAAAGCATCTTCCCGCCCGCAGCTGAGAGCCTCAAACCGGTCGCGGTCGCAGAGCAGCCTCCCTCGCCACCACGAATGCAAACCAAAGCCCTCGACACCAGGCGCGCAAGGCTCGCAATGCACCGCGCCAAAATCTTCAACGCGCTCAATTTCCCTGGCCAAATGAAAGTGCTGCCTCAGCCCACCCCATTACCGCGCCCACACACCCTTGCTCGTTGTGGCCGCAAAAATATAGACGCCAAAATTTCCCGTACACTCCACACCAGCTCTCTCAGTCTCTCCTTTCCGTCCCAACCGAAAACAAACGTCCCCTTGGCGCCACCACAGCTCTCCTCCGTACCTTAAGGAGCGGCCGCCGGACCACGCCGCGCACAAGCGCGTCTGTAGATGGACGGCTAAGGACCCAACGCCCCACGCTCCCTGCCCCGCTCGACAGAGCACGCGTCTCAACCAATGTGCCAAACTCTGCAGTCCAGTGATGTACAATGCGTGCCGTACTTAATCTCGTTGACGCGCCCTAGTTGCGGTCTGGGATTGAAACTTGCAGTCCTGAAAGCACCCCCTTTTCTTTTCCTGAGCTCCTTCTGCTGTGCAGCAAAGGCATGCAGGCTTCGTAACTCAAAGCGCCGTGCCCCCTGTGTTGGGCCCGACCCTCCTTTAGACACAACCCTGCGCCTTAGGAGCCTTTCTGTCAGTTAACACAGCTTTATGAGACACACCACGTATGACACGACGGAAACAACATCAAAACCCTGGCACGAAAACACTTCTCACCGAAACCATGCACCCTAAGTCTCCAACAGAGTCAAAGTCACAGTTGAAGTCAAAGCAACGACATGTAGGGATTAGGGCCCTAAAAATTGCCACCACACGTGGAATATCCCCTTCAATCACCGAGGGCGAGCGCAATAGCCGCAATGTACGGCCGGGCCGCTCCTGCCCGCGCCGTACCTATAGCTGAACCCCTTCCTGGTAAACCCCCTATGGCACCGACACGCCGGTTTCCCCTCCCCCCATTGATAAACCGATATCTGTAAGGCCCCTTCCGCTCCGTCATCCGCTTGAGGCCGCCACCGCCACCGCCCCAACTAGCCGAGTTGGGCCCTATATCGCCGCGATAATCCAAAAAAATCGCACTCACGTTCGTAAACAACACCGACATCGCTCCGCAACCTTTCCTATGCGGAAAACGTGAATCTGCCAACTTCCAAATGCCCCCCGTTGTGGGGCCATTACCATTGATAGCCAACACCACCACCACAATCACCACCACAATCACACCACCACCACCATCATCGCCATCATCATCATCATTGGAGGCAAGAGGGGACCAGCAGCTCCTGCCCAGCAAAGCCCCAACTAGCTGCCCAGCGGCCGTGTCACAGGTCAACTTAGCTAACTCGCATCCGCGGTCCGTACCACGGCCACCCCTCAGCCATCTTCCACCTCAGCAACCAACTCCCAACCAACTCCCAACCTACCCCAACCCAGCTACGTACGCTCCCGGTCTGTCGACAGGCCCCCGGTCGCCTCACCACCACCACCAACTACCTCCGCTGCCCTGGAGAACACGGGGCGCAACTGCCACTGCCACTGCCCCACTCCCCGGGTTAGGGCTCCGCTCACCGCTGCCCCGGATAGCCAGCTACCGCCCTCCGGGACCCCGACTGACACGAGAGGGGGATTCGTAAGCGGATACAGCTGCTACTGCTGCTGGAAAAGCTGCGCCAGGTGCGGAAATTGATACTCCAGGGAGCCGCTGCTAAGGGAATCAGGCGGCTGGCCGACCGCGGCGGCGGCGGCGGTGACTCCGCAGTCGCTTCCGCTGGAAGACAGGAGGACGCCGACGCCAACGCCGGCGGCAGCAGCTCCGGCGGCAGCTCCGCCGCCCAAGTCCTGACGGCCGGTGCCGCCGCCTGCGCCCATTGATGCGCCGCGGTGGCTGCCGCTGCTGAAGAGGCCCTGCAGGGGTAGCTCGCAGCGGTTCACTGCGGGGCCCGGATCGCCACCGCCACGGTCGCTACTCAGCCTGCGAACCTGGACCTGGGGTTGGTCCAGCAGACCTGTGGGCTGCTGCAAAGCCGCTGCCTCCGCCGCAGCCTGCTGCTGCTGTGGAAGGGACGTTGACGCGTCCTGTTTGTATCCCGCACCTGCACCTTCTAAGGACTGTAGGGGCGGCAGTAGCGCGGGAGATGCCTGCGCGGCCAGGCTCCATGGGGAAGCGCCCTGCAAACCGTACGGGTACGGCACTGCGCCTCCGCCTCCACCTGCCATGTTGACAGCTGGCGGCTGCGTGAACGGGGTCGGCACATCGCCACTCAGCCCCCACAGGGGGGTTTCCATCGCCATCATCTGTTGCGGCTGCTGCACCGAGGGGAGGGCGGCCCCCGGTTGGGGACCCGGGCCCGGCACGGGGGCCGCTGTAACGGCCGCGAGCCCCGTCAGAGCTCCGGATCCGAAGACCGCTGAGCTGCCGCCGGGCACCTGACCTCCCAGGACACCCGCCCCGGTCCCGGATACCTGCGCCTGCTGCAGCTGCTGCTGTAGCAGGTAATGTGCCTGAACCTGATGCAGCTGCTGCAACTGCTGTAGCTGTAACTGCTGCTGCTGCTGTTGTTGTTGTGCATAGAGCTGGTGTAGCGCGGCACCCTGATCGGCACCGGCAGGGCTGCCGTACGGCGGCGGAAGGAAGGCCGTGGGGTTCCCGCCAGCCGCCGACCCGTCCCCTCCGCCACCACAACCTCCGCCAAGCAGGCCCCCAAACGGCCCTAACGGCCCCAGAGCTCCGGAACCACCACTGCCCGGGCCCAGACCTGGGGCGGCGGCTGCAGATACCACCGGAAGGCCTAGCGGCTGGAGAGCACTGCCGTAAAAGCCGTACTGTGCAGCGAAAGGAGATGCAATGCCTTGCGGGCCCTGCAATGCCGCCGGGACGTACGGCTCCTGTTGAGATGATGGCTGCTGTGGGGCATCATCCAAACATCCAGATGTGCCCGCCCCGGGACACATTTGCGGTTGCTGTTGTTGATCCGGCTGCTGCTGCTGCTGCTGCTGCTGCTGCTGTGGTTGGTGGTTTGTCAACTGCTGTTGCGAGGCCGGCGCCAGCTGTTGCGAGGCCGAAGACAGTAACTGCGTTTGCTGCTGCTGTTGTTGTTGTTGTTGCTGTGCTGCTACTGCTGCTGCGATCACCCCCGCGGGACCCTCCGCCAGGTCCTTGTCGGAAGGCATCTGGGGGGGCATCTGCACGCACCAAGAACCCGGGGAAATACCCAACAGCGGCTGCTGCTGCTGTTGCTGTTGAAGAACGGCAAATCCCTGTTGTACCAGTTGCTGTTGCACTTGCCATTGCTGCAGTTGCTGCCATTGCTGGTGCTGGTGATGCAGCTGCAGTTGCAACAACAAATTGTGTTGCTGTTGCTGCTGTTGTTGGCTCTGTGCAAGCGCCGCTAGCGCGGCAAGTTGTTGCTGCGCTTGCCACTGCTGGTGCACCTGCTGCCACATCGCCCCCAGAGCCGCCTGCTGTGGCTGTACCTGGTTTTGCTGCTGCTGTTGCGGTTGGCTTCCCAAGACCGGAAGACCGGCGGCTGCTGAAAGGACGTTGCTGTTCCCCACGCCCTGCTGCTGCGAGGCCCCTCCTCCATCACCTCCACGGGCGGCATCCGCTGCCGGCCCCCGGGGTCCACCCACAGCGGGAGGGAGGCCCCCGGGCAGCAGCAGAGATGTGCCACCACCACCACCACCCACCCCACCGCCCCGCTCTAACAGGACGCTCAGGCCCCCCGCCGCCGCAACTCCCGCGGCGCCGCTACTGCTGCCGTTGACGAACCCCCGAGCCCCAGCTTGCTGCTGCTGCTGCTGCTGCTGCGCCAGCTGTGGCCCGGAAAGGCTTCCCCCCAGGGCTGCGGCTGACGTGTCCAAAGTGTCACCGTTAACCGCGGCTTGGGTCTCAGGGAGATCAATCCCGGGCGCCGCCCCTGGCCCGGCAAAGGCGCCGATGCCTTGCAGCGCCGATAGCTGTAGCTTTAGCTGCAGTTGTGGTGTCACCCCGCGGCCCAGCTGCTGCACCCCACCTAACATTCCGGCGGCGGCAGCCATGCTGGCGGCTTGCTGTTGCCGCTGTGACGCCTGATTCGAATCCAGTGGATGCGGCTGCGGCAAGGGCAGTGAAGGCGCCGCGCCAAGAGTGGTGGACCCCGGCAGCGGCGGTGCCGCCGCCATTACGTTACTGCAAGCGGTGGCGGCGGCTGCCGCCGTCAGCTCTGGGCGCAGAGCCTGCATGACCTGCATCGTGGCTGCCTGATGCAGCTGCTGCTGGTGTTTGAGCATGTGCGCCCTCATGGCCTGCAGCTGCACGTTGTCAATCAGGTGTGGCGGGATGGGGCTGTTGGGCGGCACACCGGCCAGTCGACGCAGGTACAGGCGGTACTTCTGCAAGTGCGAGGCGACGTTCTCCCGGGTCATGCCGTCCACCGCCATGAGCTGCAAGATGTTCTTGGGCACCGCCGTCTCCACGCCAAGTTGCGCCACTACAGCCATGAAGCGGCAATGCAGCTCGTGTGTCCACAGCATTCGCGGCCGGCGTGCGACACGCGCCGCGTTGCTGCCGCCGGGGTCCGTACCCGACCCGGTCCCGGCGCCACCGGCACCACTGGTACCGGCGCTCAGCCCTGCTGCCGTACCCCCGGCGGCGGCGGCACCGGGGGCGCTACCCGGAGCGCTCACACGGTGCCGCCAAGTGGCGGCGGCGGCGCTGGCACCGGCAGGGCTGTCGCTGCCGCCGCCGCTGCACTCCGCACTTGTCGGTGCAGGAGCTGCACCTCCCGCTGCTGCCGCAGCAGCTACTGCCGCTGCTGCTGCCAGGGCAATCGTAAGTGACGGCATAAGAGCACCGTGGCCCTCCGTGCGCTGCTGCTGCTGCTGTTCAAGCTGTAACCTCATACCTAACGACGCAGAATCGCCGCCGCTAATGCCGCCGCCCGGAGCGGCTTGCGGTTGCTGATGCTGCACGGCGCGGCCCCCTGCATCCGTTCGTTGACCATGCTGGTGCTCGTCCAGGTGTACGGCCGTCTCAGTGGTTGTGACCGTAGTGGCGGCATCAGCCCTGTCCATGGTCCCCGAGGGCGGCGGCGGCGGCGGGGGCATGGTTGCCATTGCTGCAGGGGCCTTTTCCTGCGCTGTGGGCCCCAATAAGGCCCCAGAACCACTACCGCCACCGCCACCGGCCGTGGCGGCGGCGGCGCCGCCGGCAGCCACCACAGCAGCTGCCTGCCATGATGTGGCCTTGGCCCCGGTGGCCGATGCCGCTGCCAGCGGCTTTACCATAAGCGACAGCGTTGCTGCGGCATCTGCCTCAGCCGTGGAGGGTTTTATACGGGCGGAGGCCGCCCGGTGGTGCTGCTGCGGCTTACCGCAGCCGCCGCCGCCGGGGTGGCTTCCGCCGCCCGCCGTACCACTGACACCTACACCCGCGGTTATGCGACTGGCGCCGCTGCCGTTGCCGCCGCTCCCGCTTCCGCCGCCGCTGCCGTCACCATCACCACCGCTGCCACCACCGTCCGCATCGCCCTCACCACCACTGCCGTCACCGCTTCCGCCGCCGCCGCTGCCGGCACCCTCACCATCCCCGTCAGTATCGCTGCAGTGACTGCTGCGGCTGCCCTCCTGTTCCTGCTCTTGCATGTGCTCGTCCGGACAACACCCCTCTTGCTCTGCCGCCGCCGCCACCGCCGCCGCCAGCAGAAGAGACGTGCTGCGGGTCGGTGCGCCGGGAGCCCGTAACGGCAGCGCCGCCCCACCCACCCCCTGCATCATGTCCTCCGCGGTCCACGGATCACCCGCTTCCGCGTGCCCCTCTTCCATCTTCACCTCCCCCCGGCGTTGGTGACCTACGAGGGTATCGCTGCGGCGTTGATGATAATGGTGGTGGTGATGGTGATGGCGGTGCTGGTGGTGCTGGTGGTGCTGGTGGCGCCCCGACTGGCGGGGGTGAGCGTCTTGCTGTGCTTGCAACTGCCGGCTGAGGCGCTGTTGCTGCTGTTGCAAGTGCGTGTACGGATACGTGGGGGGGTGGGGAGGTGGGGGCGGATTCTGACTCCGGCTGGCGATGTGGGGAGAGTCTGACGGGATGTGCGGTGCGCCACCAAGGCCGCTGCGGGACGCCCCCGTGACCCCCGCCGTCTGCTGCTGCTGCTGCTGCTGCGGGGCAGTAGCTGCTGCGGCGCCCTCCGGCCAGGTGCCGCTACGGCCACTTCCGCCGCTGGGGAATAGCTGCTGCTGCTGCGCGGGAGAACTGAGGTGGCGGTGCTTAGGGGGCCCCTCGCGCCCCTCCTCTCCGCTGCCGCCGCAGCCACCGCCGCGACTGGGACTCAACTGCCCAGAGCTCTGCCGCCAGGCTGTGTCGGCCAGTGCCCGCTTATGACCTCCGGGGGCGCCAGCACAGACGGCATGAGGAGACCCCGCCGCCGTCTCTGCCACGTAAGGGCCGCCGGCGTTGCCGCTGTGTCCACCTGCCAATGAGCCTTCAGCGGCCGCACCAGCAGCACCGGCAACAGGAGCAATGATCACCTCCGCGGAGGCCACAGCTGCCAGCGGTGGTTGGGAGCGAGACAGGAGCAATTTGCCACCCGCCTCCGTGTTGCTGCCTGCCGTCGTGGCCGCCGCCGTCAGTGCTAGCTGCGGCTGCCGCAGAGGCTTGTGCTGCTGCTGCTGCGGCGGCGGCGGTGGCGCCGGCGTCTGGTCGGCTGCTGCTGCTTCCGGGCGCTGCAGACGCACCAATGACAGGCGGCATGAGCTTTGGGGTTTGGGCCCCTGTACGGCTGAGGCTCCTGTCTGCGGCTGCATGTGGCCTGTCGGGGTGCCGCTGCGGGGCCCTCCCAGCCCGCGGGGCAAACCTTCATGTTGATCCTCCTCTTCGGCCTTCACGGCCGGCGCTGGGCGCCGCAGTGCGCAGTCACCGCCGTCACGCATGGGGCTATCACCGTCCGCGTCGGCGTCGGTGCCCACGTCAGCAAGCTCTTCCGCCGCATCCGCAGCAGGCACTGCTGCCGTATTACTGCGCATCAGTTTGCCGCCTCCATCCTCGCGCCTCCGCTGCGGTTGTTGCGGTTGTTGTTGTTGCTGCTGCTGCTGCTGCGGGCCCAGAAGCCCACCCAGGGTGGGCATCCAGCCGCCGCCAGGACTTGGAGGCCGAGGTCGAGGCCGAAGTACCGACCTCGCGTTTCCAGTAGCGATACCACCGCCACCGCCGTCACCACCGCCGCCTCTATGCGTTCTGTGTCGCGCAGAGGGCTGTGCGGCAGCGGCGCCACCGCTGCCAGCGCTCAACCTGCCGTTCTCACCGTTTTCTCCACCGCTGCGCCCCCGATCCCCACCGCCGCCGCCGTACAACCGCGGCATAACCGCGCTGCCGCTGCCACTGCCGCTGGCGACGCTGCGGCTCCTTTCCTCTCCGCCACTGCCACTGCCGCTGGCTCCGGAGCTGTGGGCGGGCTCCTGGTCACCGTCAGAGTCCCCTCGCGCACAGCGACTGTGGGGCGTTTGGGGATTCCGAAGATGGGCGCCGTACAACGGCTTGCGGTAATGGTGTTGCAGCTGCTGATGATGATGATGCTTCGCTGACGGCAGCGGCGGGGGCGGCTCCGCCTGCTGCTGCCTGCTGCTGCCGTCACCCCGGACCTGGCCAACGGCCCGCGGCAGTAGCAGGCTCGCAAGCTGATCTAAGGCCGTAGGTGGCTGCTGCTGGTCGTGCTGTTGCAACGCCGATAATTGTTGCTGCTGCTGTGTGGCGTGCGCAGTTGCTGCCGGCGTCATGGCGGCCCAGATCGCCCCGGGGTTCATCGCGAGCGGATTGAGCAGACCGGAGAGGGCTTGCAGACCAGCAGGCAGTAGCGGAGGACTACCAGCCTGGGCCTGGGCCTGGGCCTGTACGGCACCCACCGTCGCCTGCCAGGCAGCTGTCAGGGCAGCCGCGGCGGCGGCCGCCGCGGATAATGCTGCGGACCCGGACCCCGGCCCGGTACCTGGCTGCCCGTCCCGCTGGGCAGTGATCCCGCTGGGAGATGCAGCTGGCCTCGGCAGCAGCATCTGCTGCTGCTGCGGCGGCTGGCCTTGGTGCAAGCGTTGCCGGTCCCGTGAATCTGCGCTGTCGCTGTCCCTATCCGCAGAAAGCATCTGCTGCTGCTGCTGGGACAGTGGCGGTGGCGGGATAAACCGCTGTGCACGCGGCCGCGGCAGTCGCGGTGAGCGCTCCTCTTCTTCCTCCTGCTGGTCCTGCTGCTGGTTCTGTTGCTGCTGCTGCTGCTGCTGCTGCTGCTGCTCTGGCAGCGGTGAAGGTGGTGGCGGTCCAGGCAGCTGGTCTCCCGGAGGCTGCTGCTGGGACGGCTGCTGGAGCCGCCGCGGCAGGTCAGGGGAGGAAGGCTGCCGCTGCCGCTTACCCGTACCGCCGCCGCCGCCGCCGCCGCTACTATGCCGCAGCTGTGGATGGTTGTTAGAGTGCGGGCGGATGTCACCCGGGCGCCCGAGGCGCTCATCCTCCCGGGGCCGTTGCCCCTCGCACAGCATCGGCACCTGGGCACTGCCGCTGGCCTCACCCTCCCACCCCTCCCATTCCGGTTCAGGCCCCGGGCTGCACTCCTCGGCTGCACAGGTAGCTCGGAGATCGGAAGGGGCGCACGGACCTGAGGCGTCACGGCCACGTGGGTTAATCAGCTGCGGGGGGCTTATGTGGTTCCGGAGCTGACCACGACGACTCGTGCCACCATTGCCGACTCGGGAGGCCGCCGTCTGCGGCATGGCCGAGGAAATCCTAGGAAGGGGCGCTGGCGGGCCGCCAGCGCTGAGTGCCGGAGCCTGTGACACAGGACCCGTCAGAGGGCCAGCAGCAGCAGCAGGTGCCTGTTGCCGGCGGGTTGGTGGATCTTCCCTGGCTGTGACAATATTTTGCCCTCTAGGAGCTGGTTGCTGTTGCGGCGGTTGTTGGGCTAGGTTTTGCAGCTGCACTGCGGGAGGGAGAGATAGCTGAAAGGCAGCGGCTGCAGCAAGGGAAGGGCCTAGGAGTGCAATAATGGCGCGTGCCGCAGCTGTCGCCGCGTCCTCTCCTTCTGCGCGCTGCGCTTGGGCTTGCGCTTGGGCCTGCACCAGGTGCGCTATGAGCATGGCCTGTTGCTGTTGTTGTTGTTGTTGCTGCTGCTGCAGCTGTTGAAACTGATGAATTTGAAGCTGAGCAGCTGTTTCTAAATCCAGGCTGTTCATGAGGGGCGATGCATTTGTGACATGGCCCCGGGCAGCGTGCGAGGACGCCGCTGGGTCGCCGACCTGCTGCCAGGAATTCGAATCGCCTTGCATGGAATAAAACTCCGCAAAATTCCAGCATTAGATGGTTGCGAAGCGCATGACAGGAGTTTGCAAGCAGCACCGGCTGTTGGTCGTCCTCCGCCCGTCACAGATTAACTCCCAGCGCCACCACGCCACCGTCGCATTACATGTCCCACCTGCAAGACAATGCGCAATGAAAATTCGTATCGTTGAATTAAGCGTTTGCGCTGGTCGCTGCCTGTTTGTGAAAAAATCCTGACAGGATATTTTCATGGCAGCAGAGTCACCAAAACCATGACCAACACCCTCAACCGGCCTATGGATATGTCAAAAGCTCCAGCCAAGGATGTCTCTTTGCATAGGTCCTACTGCCCTGGCGAGTACAGCCCGCTGGGCTTCCAAGTCGAAGCACGTTTGCTCCCCCGTCAAGCTCAATTGGACAACATTGAAACACTGGCACAATAGATACGTCGTAAGGTTGCGTAGTCAGTACTCACCTCTAAACTAGTGCTCGGCACGAGCCGAATGTCAACGATGGCGCTGCCGTGGCGCGGCCGTGTGCTTGATTTGCCAAACGGGAACCTGTAATGTCAGAGGTCCTGCTTTCGTAACCTCAAGAATCAAATATTACACGCTTGTTGTCTTGCGCCGACGCACAGCGCGGTAACGCAAAAGAGTTTAGGCTAGGCAAATCTCTTGAGCAGAAATTCAAATTAAATAAAGTCAAATGCAATACATTTTTGAGGCTAGGTCCCGCTGGAGCGCCAGTGTCAGCGAGTAGCAAAATATCCAATGTGGTCGTACCAAAATATCTGCTTTGCGGGCTTGATATGCTGACCTTGAGATACTGATGGTCCGTTACAAGAGCTAAGACATAGCAACCATGGAAGGTGTACCAGCAACATTGCCATAAACGCCGTCATTTGCTAAGAAGAGATAAGGGCCCAATGCCTGTCGTGCAACGGTGCTCGGGATATTTTTTGAGCGCCTGGTTATGATGATGTTAAGGACCATGGAATTAGCTACAAATTTTCTTATTGACACTTATGATAGGCCTGCATTGTTGTACTGGAGTTGCTTTTCTTCAGTTGTTGCGTGCGTGCGCACGATGGGACAACACGAAAATTGAGGGGCCGAGTCCACAGCTCGCTGCATGGTACCTATTTACAATCTCCACGTTTGCTGTTAGGATAAACAGCTGCTGCATCGCAGCGTTTAATAAAAGGTTTATCTCGGAAAGATACCCATGTAATTATAAGTGGTTAAACCAACGTTTGTAGGTTTTGTGGGCAAGGAAGAACATGCGATTTTGATGTTTATTACTTGTATTTGACGCGTTTTTCTTGTCTCTCGGTGCGACCCTTAGCGGCTTCACTGTCCCTGATATGCCGCAGCAGCCGCTTGTGATACTTCAGCCGCAAATCGGATTTGCCCGGCAAGTCCACAACTGCAAATCCACATCCGATCCGATCCAATCCACTTCGCCTTTAACACAAATTTCGCGCGTCCGACAAGCTGAACGTAATACATAGACGCAGCTAAGGGACGTTGGAGTTCCAAGTTCCCTAAGCGAGAGTGATCAGGAAGCCCACCAGCTGGCGCTGAGCTTGTACGAACCTTGTTTATCTAGCGCATATTAAGCGCTCAGCAAGGCTAAACAGATTGGTTTTAGGCGACACACCGCCGCGGGCGAAGGTGCCGCTACCGCACAGCTACTTGCAGCAGCTCGTGGTTGGGCGGCCACCGAGGCGGCGGCCAGAGAGGCGGCCAGAGACTGGCGGTAGCATGCGAGCAGGATTGCAATGCAGTGAATTGGTGGCTCTCAACTGTAGGTACGTGGCCGCGCCCATCAGCGAGAAATCCAGCAGGGTGTTCACCATCATGCGAGATATAACAATAACGGAGGCGAAACTTAACAGCGGTCGTTGTTACCAAAGATGGCCGTACAGGTGGGGCCTTGTAATCTCAAAATCATAATTCAGGTAATCTTGAGGATGCAGAGACTTTCATCTTCATCACTGCTACATGGCATGACAGCACAACCGGTGCACAATTGGTGCAGCAGCAGCAGCAGCAGTATGGCACCACCGGTGACCCTGACACACTCCAACATCATAGCATTCATTAGTCATGTTTGGATTAGGGCATAGATAGTGCACAACACACGAAAACCAAAACGGACAGCAACAGACAACAATCAGCTGTCGAAGTCCTTTCTCGACAAAGCCCGCCTCGTCGTCTTCCCATAACAGGTTGTAAGCCAGGGAAGCCAGCAATCTCCTCTTTCCCTAGCATACCATTATTCCTCCATTTACTGGACATGCACGGCATACATACAGGCCGGTGGTGGATACCGGTGGTGGGTGCGGAACCTGAGCGGTCCACTGAGAAGTTGGCTAGGGTGACCGGATGAGAGTGCCCCGAAATACCGGGAAGCGGCCGCAGGGTGAAGATATGACCCCCCTGTCCCACGCATCACACACCATACCGGCATTACATCCATCCGATTCCCAAGAAGCCCAAAGTTCAATCCTTCTGCTGCCGCAGCGTCACACCTCCACTGCTGTTTTTGTTCTCCGTGGCTACCACCTTGAGCACTTTGACCACTCTGTCCACTTTGGGTTTCAGCACCTGCTGCTGCAGTGACCCACTCGGCCACTCCACAGCCACTTGCACCACCGGAGCCACCGCCTGCAGCCGCCACCGGAGCCGCCGCCCATAAACGTATTTGTTCATCGGCAACGACAGCAGGGGAAGCAAGGATACGGGCTGCTGTATGTGTCAATCGGAGTAAGGGAGGCACCAATGCTGCTTTTGGGGTTAGCAGCGGCTCCATGCAGAGCAGCAGGCAGGGTAAGCGAGCGCAACGCCTAGCTAGCTAAGGATGAAAGCTCGGGATGCAAGCTGTACAAGACAAGCTCGACAGGAAGGGGCTTCCCGAAGCAGCAGGTTTGAATCCGGCTCGCGCGGGGCTAAAATAGTAATAACGGTATAGCCAGGGGGCAGTGCGGCTTGGACAGCTCAAATCTTCGGGAACAGGGCCCAAATCCGGCCCCGGCTGGTCATTAGCGAGCGGGGGCCGCAGGAATGTGTGCACACACAGCCCGAAATGTGTGTCTTCGGTTTGGGCGGCGGGTTAGACAGACAAGTAGTGCAACCACATGTCAGGGGACTGTTTCGCGACATTGGCAACAGGGATAAGGGCCGCATACACAAGCCTTGCTTGAGTGCATGGGAAAACACTGTTACGTGATTAATGGCGCTTTCCGAACAACCACCTCGCTCACGTCAGCCGCCTAACACACGCCGGGTTCATAATCACGGAATAAACTGTTTCCCATGATGGTATCGCATCGCATTAACCGATTTCGTTTGTATAGATCTTACAGTCTAACGATTCGTGTCGTCGTATATTAGGCAGGACCGCCCCTAACGATTGTATTGGGGCACGCTGATGAAAACGTTTGCAGACGCTATCTGGGTTTTAAACATGCTGCTCGCTGCTACGGTGTCTTCTGTAGTATTACTGATTCCCTACTGCAGTCCCCTCTGCATACTTCAACCTAAAACAGCCAAAGCATTGTTGGTATAGCGTTCTGAAAGACTATCAGGCTTGCCGCTTTGGTCGTTCGTTAGGTTGGCTGCATCCTGGTACGACACCAGATCAGGATCAGCCGCAATAAGCGATTAGTTCAGCTCTGCGGGCGTGATAGGAGCTCTCTCTCACTTGTCTGATAATTTGAGTAAGTGGTTTATTCACTGAATGACTAATCAACTCCAACACGGATTTATGTTGTCTGCTGGCCATGCGGCAGTAGCCACATGTGTGTTATCATCAGTCCGTAAGCCACGGTAACACGGTGTGCAGCAGCCCACCAAAACCCACCTGCCAGCCGCCCATGTCCAGCAACTTCTCTTTAAACAAATAACTTTTAGTCGGCTGCACGACGTGCTCCTCCGTCATCTCAGTCTGTAGTACGAGGCGCGAACGCGGGATAGGTCCTATTAGTAGATGGGGCGGACGGAACATCGACAGAGGTGCGAAGTTATGCATATTAGATACATTAGGAATGAAGGAAAGGACCCGCTGAGGCGCATCCAATTGATGCCGATGCCATCTGGCATCGCGCAATACGTGCTCAATTGCCAGCGGCGGATGTATGTGCTGCGAAAACAGCAGTCATGCGACCGCGCAGCGCGGTTGAGGTCACCCACCTTGTCCTTGCTGTTGTCGTAGGTAACTTTAAACTTCAGGGGAGTGCGGGTGTCGTTGCGAACCTCCACAGAGTAGACGAGTTGAGGAGTAGGCACCATTTAAAATTTTCTTAATAATGTGTCACAGCAAAACAAATCTGTATTTTCCATGAGTTTGCTGTCTGCGAATTTCCTTTCTCGAGGACACCTTGGACGGGCAACACACCATACTGTACGTTTCACGTACACACCTTGTGCAAACGTTCATTCCTTCATCCATCAACATTTACTTTTTCGCCATGAGAACCGCCGTCTTTACCGTGCGACCTTGCTCCTTGGACCTGCCTGCCTACTGGGCAACTGACCTTGATTCATCACAGACTTCGCTAGTTCGCAGTCCTCCCCTATCAGCTCCCCAATCGTACCGTGATCCGTCGTTACCGACTCTGTACTGCACCTCGCCAACGCAAACACGCCAGGCGAGCACGATGCGTCCCTTTTGTATTATGCCGTACAGGGATGGTCGTGTCCCTGCTAACGCCTGTATCAACACGCCTGGCTCGTACTTTCCGTCTTAAAACATAAACCGATGCTCAATGACCGTGTTCTGTGGCCTAAGGCTTTGGGGGATACGTATATGTATCGTTCCCCGTTTGTCAGCCAGTCCCGGGCTGACATGGAATATGGAAGGTGCCGGAAGTTGCTGCCAGGCGTCGCCTGCTCCCGAGGTCCACGGGGCGCATACTCCAAACAACCGGGCCCTATACTGCTCAGTCGCTGCTCCCCGGGGCAAGTTCTGGACTCATGTCCTATACTTCCATCCCGTCACAGCCTGTCTACCGCCCACAACAAGACGCTGCTGTTTCACCTGCTGGTCTAGCTGCTGGTTTAACTGCGCAAGGAGTGACGGCGGCAGCGCCTAATGGCATAAGGTGCCTCTACACTTGACACCAGGACCCAGCCACCATGATTCGCACGCAATGCTGTCCAAAATACATGGCGTGCATTGATTACAGTTGGGCTGCGCTCTTTCAATAAGCTTCAAGAAAGCATTGGAACGTTCTGTTGGTCCCCAACACAGCTCAAAAAGGGCAGGCCATGCACCGCCGAGGATCACTGCCTGGCCGGCTAAGCACTTCGGTAAAAGTGGTTGTTGTGTGGACTGCCCCAAACCAAAGCCATGCTTCATGGCTGTAACGCTTTCATAACCTCTCGTCTGATCTGAGGGGGTTCTGCTACCTGGCCTGACCTGTCTGGCAGCTAGCAAACCCTTGACAGGCTGCCCTCACTATGCACACACACCTCTCCTAGGTAGCGGACCAAGTATTAGGACGGAATAGAGCGAAATGGAACAGAGCAAAGCAGGATATCAGCAACGAGAAAGAGCGGAGGAAGGGAATGATCAGAACGGGGCAGACAAGAACACGGCGCGCTGATCAGGCCGCGTGCGCCTTGACTCTGTCCTTGGAGCCGTCCGTGCCGCCCTTTTTGGCCGCCGAGTCGTCTGACAGGAGCCATGACAGAGTGGTAGCGGCTTGTTGCTGCAGCGCCAGCAGCAACGCCACAGAGGCATCGATGGGCACTTTGTAGGTCGAGTACAGTGCCATCTGCAATCAAGTCATGGAAGTTGTGCAAGACGTGTGAGGCAAGCAGCACAGCCAGCAGAGCACAGTGGTCACGGCGGGACAAAATGAATGGGTGATAAAGCAGCGGCGCCAGCGCTCAGTCCAATCCGGGTTGGATTGGCACGGCCTGCACCGGGTGGCGGCTGGCCCACAGGACACATCCCCGCTCCGCGTCCCCTGTCTCTGCAGGCCTTCCCGAGGCCACACCCCGGGGCAGCGAGACGAGCAAGTGGTAAATTGATGCGGACGGAGAACCTCTCATTCACCACTTGGCAACATCGTGGTACCGCTGGTACATGACCTCATGCAATGCAGTGCAAGGTCCACCTCCCGGTAGTAGGGGGCCATCCAACCTCTCCATAACGCCATCACCGCCCACAGCAACCTCACGGTCCTATCGGAAGTGGTCCCACAACATGCAGGTGACTTGTCCAGCTGCCCCTCGTTCCTCTACCATGGCTTCGCCTCATCAGCCCATTGCCAAGCTATAAATACTTACCAATACGGATTTGCATTTGTCCAGGAAGAAGTCGATGCGTGGGCCGTACTTGACGAGGGCGGGCTTGTAAAAGCGCTTGTACAGGTAGGCGGCGCCCTGAGGTGAGAGGTAGCAGATTCGGGAGGGATGGGCGATGGGTGAAGAAGTAGGGAACGACAGCGTCAAAATTTAAAACTGTGCAAGGAGGCGACAGGCATGGCATGAATCACATCCAGGAGGTGAAACGTTGGGGGAGGGTTAACTAAGTCCAGCAGTATCAGCCAGTGCGCACAGCAATGGCGTGTTAGAGGGTTGATAGAGCTAAGAAACGTGATTTCCCGGGCACAAGCGAGCCTTGAGCATGAAGCGTATGTGGTCCTTTGCCAATTTGAGGGGCTACCGCGCAACGGCGACGTACGGCAGAAGTACGGGAATTGCTCCAGTTCGCAGCAAGCTTATTTCGCGGCTCGAACAGCGGAGCGAAATGTGCGGGAAGCAACCCGATTACGGATACGACCAAGCAGGTAAGCATGGCCATGATGTCCCATTCCAGCTCCCCTTACTGCCTCCCCGCAATGCACCCGAAAATCATCTGGCCTCATCCCCGACATGCGCACCTGGGTTTGGGGCAACTGTAACCAAAGCAGCGCTGCAAACTTGGCATGGTAGTAGTAGGGCACCCGGCCAAGGGCCTGGGCTCGCACACAGTAGCGGCAGTGGTGGTCAAGGATACACATCATCGCATTACCATTACAAACGCAGGACGGGATGGCGAATAGTTTGGAGACAGGGCGATGGGTATGAGAGGGGAGGGCGATGCTTCGCGAATTCCCGACTCCCAAGGGAAATGATTCTGGGAATACAGACATTCGAAGGTTCATGAACAACCACATGACAGCACTGCTGACAATGCAACCGGATGTGTTGGGAGCTAGCCAGATGCACGGCTGCATACCAAATGCCGTGACGGAGTTGCATGCGCCTGAACACTGACCAGCCTTAAAGCCAGCCCGGTTTGGTATAACCACCTCCGACGCGCACGCCGCGGTATGCCCCCATGGGAGTCTCAGTCTCCAAGCGGACCCAGCACATGGCCACCCACCTGATCTGCAAGATGCTCGGCGAGGATGAGGCTTCCGTAAAGAGTCCAGTACGTCAACCACTGCAGTTAAAATTGGCACAACAAGGCGGCATGTGCATGGGATCGGCAATCTTTATAAAATAAACCAATAAAGGTGCATACAACGAAGGGCATAGTATCCCGAGTATGATGTTCGGCATTCCAGCATTCTTCCCACGCTGTCTTCTGCGTCCATCATAGGCCACAACATGTAAGGAGCAAAGAGAGTTCTTATGGAGAAAGTGTGAGGTGTTCAGGCAATAGCCTCCTTAAAGGCAGATTCCCAAAACACACCTGCACATCGTCTGCAGTGTCCTTGGACTCAATTGCTTTTGCGCTTGCATATACAGGGTAGATTGTTGCGACGGTGTTGCTGCGTCCATTAACAGTTCCGGAAATGATACCGGCAGGCGTGCAACATCAATCACAACCGTCACATGCGCGCTATGTGCTCTTATGTTGCGTTATTGTAATACAATGCGACTGTTTTGCCATAACAAATCTGCTCGAGGCATGACTAGCTCAGCGTTGATTCAAGAGGTGCAGCGAGACTGCGTGCATCCCCACCTTGCAGCGCGGAAAATGACACCGCCCGCAGTGGGTTCCAACAGAACTTTAAGACCAAGGGTTACGGGTGAGGGAGCTGGAGTAGCAACAGGTATGGGTATCACCGGAGCCACAGCTTGGCTGGCCGGCGCTACTTGGCTGAAAACGCTGCTGATCCAGGTCAGGGCCGGCCCCAAGGCGTCCATGTCAGCCTTTCGATGCGACTACACCACAAAATTCCGAAACGAAGTGTGCAAGCTCACAACTAGGACTGTCGGGTAAAACGCTGTTGGTGATGCAAACAACAATACTCAAATTTAGGCAGGGGAACCATTACACTATCGTGTACATCAGCTTTATAGACGAGCAAAGGCATGCATGGGAAATTGCCGTAAACCTCTCAACCGTTCGGAAGCCCAAGTATCGTCCTTCCATGCTGCCCGATCGTGGTACACGTCTATGCGACGTGGAATCATACAACGCTCTCTGAAGAAAAGGGACAGCTCAGCAATCCTGCCGCTTCGGCATTCGAACCGTACTCTCCATATAACAGAAATCGGCCGAAGCAGGATGATAAAAGCATGCAACAAGATTGCGGCGCCAAGGCTTCAGCAATCGCACATAAAAAAACCGTATACTCCTCGCAGTATCATGGCTTGTTCCCAAGCATTAAATACACCACCACTCGGCGAAACTACATAGAAGTATCCGAACACAACAACTTGCACGGACACTTGCTAGACCAAGCAACAGCGATGGATCTTTAAATTCAATGATAGAAGCTCTCAGCAACGGCTCAGTAGCACACATCGAACGCCTTGCCTACACTTGTCTAGGTCATAACTCCTACAAAAGCCACGCTTAGACGTGCAGTAAGCTACGGGACCTAATGCCACCGAGCAGAGCCAGACACCGATTTGGCTCTTACGCGGCATTAAGCAAAACACGACCTTATATCCCGGTCCTCATGCCTAAGGGGGCCAACCCATCCACTACGATGAGGCTCATGGCCCACACCGCCCTTCCCTCCCAACACTCCATGGATAAGGTGCACACCCTCCGTCGCCTTTCCCTCCAAGTCTCCCAAGCAAAAGTACATGCGTAGCAGCAGCAGCAACAGCAGCTTCATTATCCCGCGGGACCTTCATAATGCTCGAGAAGCTCCGCCGCCTCCTCCCACCACCACCACCACCGCCGCAACCAACACCGGGTGATGCACTGCCACCGGCCACACCTGCATGCGACCAATCAACACATCGGGGGTTGGACCTCCGTCAGCGTTTTGGATTACGCCTCCCTAGGCATGATCCCCGCCGCCTCCTTCGGTCCGCCAACCGTGTCACCCGCATATGGGCCACACCGTCACTGCACTTCCTCCTCCTCCCAAAGCCACGTCAAGATTTGCGTGTCAAGCCGCGCCAGGGTTAAGGAGTATAACCGAAATGCCATGCCACCCAACGGCCGTCTGCGCCCGCATCAGCTAATAGCTCCAGGCAGGCTGCCGCTCGCTCCACACACACTCCGCATTTCGTTGTTGCGGGTACCGCAAAGTCTACTCATGACGTCATGGCTAGTCCAGAACCCCCAAATCCGACCCGATCAAGAGCCATTCGGACCCGCTGGGGTCGATCAGCACCTCCACTCCCCCCCTCACCCTAGCTTCCATGGAGCGAGCTGTCAATTGGTCCTTAAAGTCTATGCGCAGTGCACTGATAAGGTTTCTGGCTGTAGTTGCCGATGTGAGCGCCCCAGGACTCCTGGGACTAATCACCTGTTGCCATGTGCCGAAACCCCTCCGCCAAGCAGCTGTCAGCCCGCTTATGGCGGGTACGTAGCTTCCTGCTTGCCTATCTGCCTGCCTGCCCGCCATCCGGCCCGTGCGTGTACCTGCAGGTCTATCTGTCTGTCTGTCTGCCCCCTGGTTGCTGCATGTCCCTTTCATGTCCATTTCTTCACTACCGCCCACCTGCCTGTCAGTTAGACAGCCGGTTCACACGACAACAACAACACCAAGATATATTTGCAACTAGTGTACATGTCGACAAACCTGCTTGCATACATAGACCCTTATTTCTGCTTGCGTTGCGCAGCGTTTAGGCCTCCCATAACCGTCGGGGGCATTGACCCGCGTCGACATATACGTTGACCCACACTCACATGGGGGGCGGCAACACACAAGAAGAGAGGAGAGGCTGCGAAGAGCCAGACCGCCCACCTATACAACAAACCAACTTCCTGCCGTACGAACCAACGCCCCGGGAAAACAAGTTCCTCCCAAGAGGCGCCGTACTGCTGCTCAACGCCGTGTCGTTCTTCTGTCACTATCAGCGGCACAACACATCCTGCCTTACCCAGCCTCGAAGGCCGCCGCAGAAGCCCCCCTCCATTCCCACATACATAAATAGTTACGCGGTCGCCACCCAGTCACATAACAAAACAAAAGGGTAAAGCCTCCTGCGGCATCTTCGCACAAAACAGAACCTGACATCGACCGCGCCCAGCGGGAACAGCGTCAGGGTCATGAGCGGGTGTTGCCCAGCTGCCCAGGTCGCCACCGCCCCCGGTCCTGCTGTGACTACTAGCTAGTTGCTTGCCCACCCACCACCACGGCAACTAAGCAGCTTTGCTGACTCCTATACCTACCCACCTACCTACCTACGTACCTACGTACCTACCCACCTACTACCTACCTACCTGCATCTGTAACCAGTAAGTCTACTCCACTGCCCATGCCCTTCGAGGCATCCCCCCTGCACTACGACTGGGTGCTCTCTATTTCCCCACGTCAACATCCCCTCATAGCACCACCACCACCACCATGCCACCCAAGGTGCCGTACCCGAGGGGCACGAGGCCGTCCTCCTCCTCCACTGGAGGGAGACGGCAAGTTACCCTCTCCCCCGGCACCCCGCCTGCGAACGAGGTCCGGGGCCCCTCCGCCTCCTTCACTCCCCCCCAATGCGCGGTCCGAGGTATTGCGCTGCCTGGTACCCCTCCCCCTTCTGGGCGGACGCAAAAGGCACGCGATACAGACTGACATACATCAATGCATACAGACATCCAAGAGCATAAAAAGAGCATAACAACAAACTGCATCACCCCCGGCAGCAAACCCCTGCGTGCGGAACTGCCCCCGCCATGCGACCCTGTTTTGCCGTGTGACTGGGGGCGCGTCGAACCACCAAGGGTCGCATCATCCATTCTGCCACACGCCCCTACAACGGCCCTGGCTGGCCGCGTGACTTAACTGCAAAACACACACCAGCATGTTGTAACACCTCAACCCAATCCATGCACACGCATATACACGGACAAGCTGGTAGACGATAAAAAAACCACATCATCCATTCATATTCCCCACCTGCAATAATAACTAACAGCCACCACCGACAGACTACCTCTCAACCGCCTCAACAGTGCCTTGCCTCCCAGAGCGCCCCCTCATCCTGAAGCGAAGCAATCTCCCACGTTCTGCAACTCCCCGCCCGCCCCCCCGCCTTGCCCTTACTCGCTGCTAGCCATGATTTCCAAAACCCCAACCCTGATAGAAAAGTAGCGGTAGTAGTGGTAGTGGCAGTGGTAGTGGCGGTAGCAGCTGTAACTCTCCTCCCACCAAACAGAGGTGTGCGGCCAAGAGGTCCGCTATATTCGGCCCGTGGAGTGGCGCACACAAGTTGCCGCCCTCCCCCGGCTCCCCCACCGCGCCCTCCCCCTCCTCCTCCACCACCTCCGCAGCACGAAGGTAGTGGGCACCGGCACATCAATAAGGCCCTCAGAGCGGGGCCCAGTGCGCGGACACGGACAACCCCCAAACCAAAAATAGGTTCCCCAGCGGCCCTAAAAAATCCCGTCAACCCCACCCCTAACAACCAACAACCCTACCACCGGCGGCGTGCTGACTTGCGCTGAGCCGTACCACTGCCCTCCCTGGCCCTCCTGCGTATACCCTCGGTGTGGGAAAAACGTCACCTCAACCACGATTGCCAGCGCCTGGTACAACAAAACCCCGCCACGCGCACCCGGACCCACAGATGCGCATAAACACACACAAACACAATGCCCTGCTCGCCTTGTCCACCAACTGCCTGTTAGCCCGCTGAGCCCCCGGTACAGAGCCCCCGTACAGAGCCCCGGTACTCGGACCCGGGCGGCAAGCAGCTCACTGTAGGTGCCTCTAAACATGGCGCTGTAACCGCCATGCCGGGTGTCGTGTAAACCTCTGCAGAGAGTAAAGCGCGGGGCAAACTGCAATGCGCGCCGCCGTACAGTGCTTTTCACTACTCCGACTCCACCACCTCTAGTTGCGGCATCTGCTCCAGCACGGAGGGCGGCACTCGCAGCGACAGGCGGTTGTGGGCGATGGAGAGGTACCTCAGGCGGGTGCAGGCGGCCAGCCAGGCGGGCAGCTCGGAAAGGGAGCTGGGGAGGGGGTGAGGGTGAGGGTGAGGGGGGGGGGAGAAGGTAAGCATAGGGACACCGTCAGGGGGCTGAAGGACACACCGAGCGGCGACACCCCTTCCGGATCGAACCCTGCTTTCCCCCAACCTTCAGACATCCCCCCAGCTCACTTGTTGCTGAGGTCCAGGTGCTGCAAGCTCGGTGCCAGCTTCCTCACCCAGGGGGGCACCGCCAGCAGCCCGCAGTCGGACAGGACCAGGGAACGAACAGATGTCAACGTGCCTGGGGAGGGGGAGGGGGAGGAGGAGGAGGAGGAAGAGCCGGTAAGGAGGGGTGGAGAACCCGCAAGAGAAGGGAGAGAGCGCCATGGTAGATAATCATATGTGTGTGCGAGGGGAGGAGGGGACGGAAAGGCAGCAGCGCCTTTCCACTCCCACAATTCTGTCCTCACTCCACCATAGTCGCACCGACCTACCCCCAAAGTGCACCGTCCCCTCCCCTCCCCTCCCCTCCCCTCCCCCCAAGCCTACCCAGAACATCGGAGGGAACCAGGTTGTTTGCCGCCAGGTCCAAATAAGTCAGGTTGGCGGCCAGGAGGCGGAGCTCCTAAACCAACAACCGACAACCAACAAGGAACGGTGCAGTTGGGTTGGTTGGTTGATAAGAGAACCAGGTGATGAACCCGATGCAAGGACCCGCGCAGGGAGTCGTGTGATTAGGAACAAGATGGCCCGGTGACCGCTGAGGGCGTGAGGGTGGATGTGGGGGATCACGATGACGCAAGGAGTCAAGGGGGGGGGGAGGAATTCGCTTTAGAAACCCACACGGGCCGTAGCTCCTCTCAGCCACGTAGGGGCCCCCTCACCCCCCGGGGGCCCCCCCACACCCACCTGGGGCGGTACCAGTCGACACCTCACGTCGCTCACACAAGCAAGCTCCAGCCGCCGCAGCCGAGGCAGGCTGCACAGCAGCGGCAAGGAGGGCCCCATGCCCCCCAGCCAGTTGTACGAACACGACAAGACTTCGACGTGTCTCAATGCAGACAGGGAGGCAGGCAGCTGTCGTAGCTGGTTGTTATTCAGCAGCAGGCAGGTGACGGCGGAGAGGCGGCCAATGTCGGCGGGAAGGGCCACCAACTTGTTGCGCTGCGGGGGGAGGGGGGGAGAGACGAACCACGAACGAGGGGACGGGGGGGGAAAGACGAACCACGAACGAGTGAAGCTCCTGCCAGGGGAGGGGAGGGAGGTAAAAGCTACAAGTAGTACGGTAGAGGGTCACTGCGGAATTCCGGAGCAGGGTGGTAACGGAATGCATCAGAGGTATTCCGCCACAACTAGAGGATATGGCTGCAGCCCGCGGGTGCCGGGGGGTGTGTGTACGCGGCGCACCCGCAAAGAACGAGAGGGCATAGAGCACGGCAAACACAGAGAGACAGACCGACTTTACGAACGTAACAGGCAGGCAGGCAGACGGACAGGCGCTCTCCCTCCCCCGTTCAGCGGCCCACCTGCAGATCCAGATGCTTCAGCGCGGTGAGCTGAGTGAAGTCCGCCGGGAGGGCGGTGAGGCCGCTGTGGGTGGGGAGGATGGGGAGGGGGGAAATCGTTTTACGCAAGCGCCCGACCGGAGGGGCCGTCAGACTCCCGCAACCCCGGGGGCAGTTGGAGCCCTTGGGGCCCCCATGGAACTCCCTCACCCTCCGAGGGGCGAACACCCGTGTCCGGGGCGCGCATGTCCTTTGTAAGCTTGGCGCCTGACCCCTCTCCCCCGCGGAGTCGGCCCCCCTTCCCCCCTTGCTCCTCTACTCCCCCAACCCACTTTAGTGACAGGTCCATGTACTGCAACTTGGACAGTCCGCCCGACACCCCCCTGGGCATCAATGACAGCGAGCAGTCCTGAGGGGGAGGGGGAGTGGGAGGGGGGGCCCAGCTACTCAGCATCGAGTCAAACAATATCCTAAGGGTTCCAATGGGAAGGGAAAGAAGACGAAGGTATCAGGTGCAAATGAAGGGGGAGGGAGAGCTATAGTGGGAACAGAGTGTGTGAGCTGGGGAAGGGGGGAATTGGACATGAAACGGAGGGGGAAGAAGGGGAAGGTGTGTGTGCCGAAGGACGACATGCGCACCCGCCAGCCTCCCGCCAGGCGACGACCAAACATGGGACGGCCCGAACTCCCCAGCTCCGAATCCCAGATGCTCCCCCCGGCCCCCACCTGCACTGCCAGCCCGTAGTGAAAGTATCCCCCACCATCACTCTCACGCACATGTAACAACCCTCATTGTTTTGCCCCCTCCCTTCCCCCCTTCCTCCACCTGCGCCACCAGCCTCGTAAGGCCCGTCAGGTGCTGCAGCTGCTCCGGCAGCGTCACCAGCGACAACCTCACCAAGCTCAGCGAGGTGAGCTGGGGGGCGGTACGGCCCGCGTGCAGCCACAGCAGGCAGGGGGGTAGGCCCGCGGACGGGCGCTGGCGGCCGCGGATGTGCAGCTCCTGCAGACCTGGGTCGATGAGGGGGGTTGGGGGGAGGGGGCGGGTGGCAGGAGGCTGGCGTGTACGGCGGCGCTGCGTCTGAAACGGGATGTGCAGCTCGAGAGGATCATAAGCCACGGGTGGAAAAACGTGAGCGCTACAACCCAACCAACCAACCAACCAGGATCCCGCCCCACCGGCTCGCCTCATCGTCCGCCGGTCACGGTGGTACCTTGACCAAAACCCTAAAACCTGCCACAGTGTTCTTCCCCCTCCCCTCCCCACCGCTCCTACTCCCCGTCCCCGAACCACACCGTAAGAACAAGGTATCTACTTCCCCACCCACCCGCCCCCCTGGTCCTCACCCGTCAGCCGCCCGCACCAGTCGGGTAACCAGAACGCGTGCTGGTGGGTGGCCCCGGGGCGGGAGATGGCCCGAGTGAAGGACTTGATGCCCGGGTCGGCCAGTTCAGAAGCATCCAGAACAAGTGGCGGCGGCGGCGGCGGCGGTGGCGATGCCTCAACACCGGCAACAGCTGCCGCCTCAAGTTCCACGACACCGCCTGTTGGCGCTGTGGCAGTTGCAGGGGGGGTTTTGGCGCTGTCCAGACTGACCCAGTCACGGGTAATGGCATCGGCACCGTCGGGGAGGGGGCCGTCTTCCTCCGCGTCTGTGCAAGCGGCGGGGGTGGTAGTGGCTGCCGCCGTAACTGCCGCCGCTGACATGGGGGATGCCAAGAAGGAGTTTAGGCGGCTGCTGACGGCGGTGCCGCTGCCACTTCCCCCGCACGCGGCCGCCGTTAACCCGCCGTCAAGTACAGGAGAAGATGCTGCCGTCGCCGCGCCCCCGACGATAACGGGTCCCAACCGTACGGCAGCCAACGCAGCGCCGACGCTGGCCACCGTGCTGACGCTCACGGCCGTTGCAGCGGCGCCGCCGCGGCTGGTGCTTGCGCCGCCGCCAAGCGCGGCGGCTGCGGCGACATCCCGCGGCCACGGCGTCGCTGGAGCTTCCAGTAGCGGCGCCGCCGCCGCTACTGCCGCTGCTACTGCCGGTGAGGGTCCGGATGGCTGTGTCCCGTCCACAAGAGCCTGGGGGAGGCATGCGGTGGGTGCATTGGTGTCTTGCGGTAGTTGCGATGGGCACGTAGGGCCCTGACACCCCATGACAGGGGGGATCTACCAACAGGGCTGCGGTGACTTCTGGATGTGTAAGTGGGGATCCCGCCTTTTCTGAAACTTGCAAGTGGGCGGAGTAGCTGGAAGGGGGACCTCGAAGCGAAGAGAGGGACGGCTGTGTTCGGCAAGGCAACTTGAGAAACGGGGTGGAAAAGCCTGGGCACACGTGTGTGTGTGTGGGGGGGGGGGGTTTGCGTGTGCATGTGGCTAGGTGTGGCAGGGTGCAACTGGGGTCACGAATACCCGGGTAGAGGTTTGGGGGATTGGATGAAGAATTGAACTGGTGACCGGGAAACGGCGCAGCTCAGCGATCTAATGCAGACCCCCCCTGCTGTTGAGAAGCTGCACCGCTTGCTAGTGAGACACCCGCGAGGCCCTTCCGGGGGGGTGTCCGTCATTCAGGTCATCTGAGCGGAACACAGCGCACATACCCGCTGTTTCGGGGCGTACGTTAGTCCCACATACCCCTCAGACATACATCCACAAGGACAGCACGCACCTGTGCGCAGACCAGGGAGGCCCAGTGCTTCTGACCCATCCGCTCGCTGAAGGTGTCGCTAATGTGGAGGGAGGTAAGGGACGGCATACGGGAGAGCGCTGCCAGGAGCGTGGAGAGGCGAGCCGAGGCATCGCGACAAAGGGATGCGTGACCCACAAGCCTGCGCTTGCCAGCACAAGTGAAAGATCGTTAAATGATCAGGAAAAACTGAAAAAGGTTAACAGAAAATAAAAATTGGGAGGACGGATGTTGGAAGAAAGGCACAACAAAACAATGAATGCTTGAAAGGAATAGTTAGAAATTATGACTAGAAAATCGAGGGAAGAGATGGATTGATAGTCGGGAGGTGGCGGCTTCCAGCGAAGGACAGGGCGGCTTCAAGGGGTTGGGATTCAGGCATACGCCGCCCTCGAGCAGTTACTCCAACGCGGTCCCACCTGGTATCACAGCGGGTTAGATCGCAGTTCGTGAGAAAGGGAAAGCGTTGGGCGATACCGGCGACTTGCTCGAGGCTGGTGCAGGCAGGTGCCAGGGACCTGAGATGGCTGTTGGTTGTCGCGCGCCAGTGCACACAGACCAAGCGAATGGATGCGACATCATTCTGACAGAGACCGCACTCGTTGATGATGTACGCCAGCGCGTCGGCGGGTAAACTGGCCCAGCATCTGCGTATGCCGCGGGCGCACTTTGGTCACTGCGAGTTTGCTGCCAATACTTCGAGGCCGACGCGGTCCTCCATCATAGCCCTTAGGATCTATCCACAATAGCAGTCAAGCAACTCGTAAGGGAGACTGACCCGGTTCAGAGCCCCCGGGCCCAGTCAGCTGAAAACAGCGAAGCAAGCATCTCACTGTAGCCGAAATGGCTACAGTGCACAATCCTGAAGGCAGACCTACCTGCTGCCACTATTCATCCTGTCTTTTGTGTCAAGGGCTGACTCTTCGGGATGCCGGTGGCCGGAACACCTAGAACCACAACCCACGCCGCCTGCAAACCTATTTATATTTCTGTTACCACTACGGCACTGTGCAATAATTATAATGCCAATCCCTGGGTTACGATAAGAGTCGTTCGCGTCACTTTCTTTCCTTGGATGGATACCTTTGATGCCGCCTTTGGAGTGTAAGGGAATAACTACGGATGGCAAGCATTGTGGACTGCGGCTCTTAGAAGGCAGGGTGTTGGCGAGTGCTATTCCCGTACGGTCTCAATAAAAACCGCCTGGTCCGTCAGCATTTTATCCATCACATCCAGCTTCAAATGTCATGTCCTGTAGGGCCTTGGAAAGGTTTAGCATGCGCTAGACAAGGTTAAACGGACAAGTAACTTTTGATTGCACGATATCAATACCTCTCAAGCATTGGCTGACATTGGCTGACATTATTTTACAAAGTTTTTTAATAAGTTTTACGCCATGCTTGCGTCTTCGCGGCCCCGCGTCACAGGCGTAGGGTTCAGGAATGGCCGAATCCTGGGCCGGCCAGCACGGGGATTAGCTGTTTGCGTCAGGGCTAGTGCTGAATATGAGGCTTTAAGGTGCGATATGGCGCAACCTACATCAGCCCTTGTTGATACACTTTACGCGTGGCAACGTTCTGGCCAGGGGCAAGGTGGCTTACAAAGCATCCAGCGGAGACCCTGTAGAGCTTCTTAGCTTATGGGAGGTGAGGCCGCTCCTGCCGTATCTCAACCTTTCGCAGATCTTGGAAGGCCCCTTCACCCCGCTAACGCCCTCATCAGCAGTTTCACCATCCACGAACTTTACTGTACAGCCCAGAGCGACTCCCCCCTCATGTAACTCTCTGTGCCGCATTTGTGCATGGATGAAGTCCAGTACACCAAGCTAGCGCAGCATAGAAGTCTATGGGAAGCTACCTCTACCCCCGACCGCCCTCGCCACTCACCGAGGGTCCCAACACACACCCACTCTCGGGAGTCGAGTGTGGGGATATGGACCCATAGGCAGCTGCTTACGTAATCCATTGTCCTCCAACCCTCGGCATGATCGCTGTTGGCTGATGTCCGTCCGATCATGTGCTTTTTTCCCCGGACCCGGGATCTGGAACCCCTTCGTTTCGTTGATTGGGGGTCTTTCCGAATCAGCGGGCGGGCTCCTCTCCGCACTCCCACCCCGCCCCGCCGCCTCCCTCCCGCTTTTTCCCCGCCATCAGCCCGCCCCCACCTCCAAGGCCGTCATCTCGTTCCTGACCCACTTCGCGGACCTGTCCTCCTGGGAGTTTGCTCAAAAGCTGGTCAAGGTGTGTCGCTGGGGGTGTATGTATGCATGTATGTATGTGTATGTATGTGAGATGACACTGTGGGCCGCGAAAGCCGGCTGCGGAAGCCAAAACACTGCGCAAGGAGCACACAGCAGAAGCAAAAAAGATGTTTTAGATCATATATCGGCAGTACAAGATGCTGGACTAAAAACTCTGGATGGAGGTCAAGAAGTATCTCGTCCACAGGGCCTGCTGGCAGCCGGCTGGGGGCTGTACTAGCCAGAGCTGCTTGTAGAAGACACCTACTACCGCCGCTTCCTGAGAAGGCTGTAGATGCCCGGTGTCGATTTGCGCCCTCACTGCCTGAACTACTGGGTACTTCTGGAAGTAATACATTGCACGGCGAGCAGGCATGACCTGCAGCCCCACCGAATGCGCCGCACCCACAGCATTCTAGGATTATGCGGGCTAGGTGCGTGTTGCCAGGTAGCGGGACGCCAACCACCGCCAGCCACCACAGCGTCTCCTTATTCTCATTTCCCCTTGTACCCGGGATCATAAACGGGCCTGGGTCGCCTGGTAAGGCTGATGTCTGCCGGGGTCGGCGGTGACAGTCCTGCGCGGCAGGTCCCGCAAAACCCTGAATTTCATTCACTAGGCGCCTCCTCCTCTCCTCCGTAGACTTACATTGCAGCTGTGTCCCCTGGGCAGGCCATGAGGCGAGCCAGCGGGACTGCTTCCGTCGCCCCAGCTCGGCACTGCCCAATTCGTGTCGCACACCCCCCCTTTCCCCCTTTTTTAAAAACAACGACAGGTGATTCCCACCCTGGAGGGCTCTGGAGTGCGTTTCCTGGCTGTAGGTCTGGGCAGTGTGGGCAATGCACAGGAGTTCGCCCGCACCCTCAACTTCCCCCTGGACCGTCTGTACGCAATGCCCGAAGGGGGGGAGCTGTACCGACAGCTGGGGTTCAGTGCGGGGTTCGCACCCGACCTGAATGTGAACCCCTACCTGAAGCTGGTGCCCATGCTGGCGGGGGTTGGGTCGCCGGGGACTGTGCAGGAGGTGCGTTCACATGGTGCCGGGGGGGGAGAGGAATGCCATGTCGTGAATGCCTGAGGGGGAAGTATTCATCAGACTTATGATCGGTAATCAATCGTGAGGCACTAACAGCCGGAGTCCCAACTCCCGAGCAAGAGCGTCTGAGGGGGAGGTAGGGCAGTAGGGCAGATGGGAAGGTTGGCGGGCGGGAGGCAGGTAGGAAGGCGGATGGCGGGCGGAATGGAGGGCAGAAGGGGGCGGCGGGCGGGGTTCAAAAGCATCAGCAGGGAGAACGGAGGCAGCGGTGGCACACGAATCTTTACCGAAGCGCGCGCTCCAGTTCAGCGACGTGTCATTAGTCTTCTCCAGTACGAACTGTAGAGGCAGCTACATGAAGGTTTCAAGTGGTTGTTGGTTAGAAGAGTGATATGAAGAGCCTGTAGAAATAAGCGGTGTTGTGTTGGTGAAGGGCGACTGGGTGGTGGTGGGCGGCTAGGACTGATTGCAGACAGCGAGGGCACCTAAAGTCCTAAAGACCGAATGGAACCTAGAAACCTTCATCCCGATTTCCTGCGCTACGAAACGGACCAAGCGGAAGGTCATGCTACCATAGGGCGAGCGATGTGACGGCATGCAGGGTGGGCCCCCCCCCCCGGGGCACAACGAACCCTTCCCGTCAAAGAAAAGGTTGTCTGACACTTGACACGTGAACTAAGGGATACGACAAAGGATGTCACCGGAACTGCAGCAGCGGGAAGGAAGAAGATGTCGCAGTAGAAAGTATTTGGGCATTAATGATGTAAAGGTACGGAAAGAGTACTGGAGCTTAAGCAAGGTAAACGGTTAATCCTGAGACCAAAGAAGAGCCTTGTTTGCGGTGAGATGGTTTTGATGTCTGAGCTGCGATGAGGGAAGTGCCGACGGTGGAGATGCTGTGAGAAATGGGGCGGGCAATAAGGCGAAGGGGTGCGGGTATGCGGCCAAACGACAGCCCGCTCATGAAAGCCCCCTGCAGCAGCACCAGGCGGCCCCAGTGTGTATTCACATGACACACCGGGTCTGCGGTTATGGAGGGGCACTACGGCAGATGGGATGGGCAGGTGGGAAGGGCAGGTGGGGTAGCTGGGTGGGCCGGGTGGAGAGCACCGAGATAAGATGAAGGGCCTGCAGGTGAACTACTTGGGCAGGTGGAGGGCTCGTATCATCTCATCGCGGTCGGGGCTGTACCCATATGGGCTTTGCCTCTACTTCACCGTAGTGCTACCGGTCCTTAACGGGGGGAAAGGGGCAAAGGAGGAGTGGAGTGGAGGGTATGTGCGTGCGTGTGTTCCTGATACTGCTGATATTCGCACTGCATGCTGGTTCTCGCCCACCCGCTCACCGGTTATCACCGCAGTTGCTCACAGCCTCGACCCCCACCACCACCAGGTGCTCCGCGGCTATGTGGGCGACAAGACCGCCAAACCCGTGTTTGACTCGCCCACCCCCTTCGACGTCCTGGGGCCCGGCTACCAGCGGCCCTTTGAACTGGCCACTCTGCGGCTGTTCAACATGATGGGCATCCTGCCAAAATGTGAGCATTTGTTTGGGTTTGGATTAGGATTTAACGGCATGAGAAGGGCATGAGAAGGGCATGAGAAGGGCATGAGAAGGGCATGAGAAGGGCATGAGGCGGGTGCGGGATTGGAGGACCCAGGAACACCCTTCTGCCAATGTCGCTCTGGATCCTCTCCGCGGGTCGGGGGTGGAGGGGAACAACGGGGTCTATGCTGCGGAAGGAGAGAGTGGGAGAGTCGGGGCTTCCCTGTAGCCCGTCATTCGGGACATGATTGAGGAAGTCAGCTTCGCAGCTCCCCCCCTCACTCCCCCCTTTCTGATACGGATTGGCTATACTTTTCCGTTTTTTAGTTCTGGCGGCTTAGGTAGGTAGGCTTTCCGACATCATCTTCACTTCGTCATGCCGAGGTCACGGTCGCCACGGACGCCTTTCGGTCAGTTCTACGTTTGTTACTCTCTTGCCCTGGCAGCAGCTTCAATCGTGTGTGGTTCGTCTTTCCCCCCTTTCTGAACCCCCCCGCATCCGCATCTTCTTTCACCTCACCCATCGGGAACAGGGTGGTACAGGACCTTCCTGAAATGGTCGGGTTGCCGGTTTTCCCCTTCCCATGCCCGTCGGGCCCACCGGATAGCGTTTTTGCATATCTTTCAATTTCTGTCGGGTGCCCCGATAGCCCATCCCAAAACCTGTCGGGTGACGCAAGAACGAAATTTCGCTGTGTGCCGCTTGAAATTACATTTATTCGTATTTTATATGCGCAGTTTCCAGTTCTCAGCTTGCAGTTCACAGTTCTGATATGCACGAACAAATACACACACACAGCAACACATGCACGCCTGCACGTCTGCCTGTGAGCATCACAACCCGAGCTCTTCAAGGAGACCCTTACACACCGTAGGACTGGAGAGGAACATCTCCTCGTCCTCCTCTTCGTCCCCCTCATCGGCAACCTCACTGCCAGACTCACTGGACAGTTCTGGATGTCACCCATGACCAGTGCAGTGCGGTGTGCGCAGCAGTGGACAGCGACTAGGTAGCTGACGTGCGCGCGCCGCAAGCGTGCCACCACACCGTTTCGCTTGCCCAAGTATGCTGCACCCCCATCACTCGAAAACGCAACAAGCTTGGAGATGGGAAGATTCAACACATCTAGCACTTTCACGAGCAGATGGCATATCGCCTCGGCCGTTTTTTCTGCAATTTTTACGCAACACAGGTATTGCGTGACAACAGCTACCCTCTTCAGATCAATGTAACGCACGTAAATAAGAATGTGGTCCTCCCCAGTAATGTCCGTACTGCTATCCACCATGAGCGCGAAGTAAGGACTTTCACGGATAGCGTTGAGCTGGGCCACGAGAAGGACTTCACTCAACGCCAACAGGCACCTTCGGAAGTAGCGCTTAGCTGTGTACTTGTGCGTGATCGCTGTGTGACCAGCGGCGACAAGCAAAGCTAGCGTGCGCGGCCACTTCCTCCCCGCCAGCCCCTCCTGGATCACGAACAGCACGACGAGCAGCAGCAGAGGTGCCAGGGAGAGCACGCCCGACCGCTTGCGGTCGTTACCTGCCTTTGCAGTTATATTTGTATGAATGCCATTATGTATCGCTCTAGCTGTCCGTCGCCGGAGGGCCAACCGACGACCCACGGCACCCGATCGGGCGGTCCTAGCACCCCTAACCCTGTCGGGTCCCCCGACGATAGCCCTCCGGGCCCCGTCGGGGGCTCCCGATGGCCGTTTGGCGTTTTCCCCCTTTTTCGTCGGGTCCGCCCGACAGCATTTTCCAAAGCCTGTCGGGATTTTCAGCACAAGTGCCATTCCTGTCGGGACCCGATCGGACTGTACCACCCTGATCGGGAACCTCCCGCTCTGACCGAAGCCTAATGCCAACCTCATGCAGCGGCCCCCACACACCTCCTCCACAGTCACTCCACACGCCACAACACGATTAACCCCCAACTCCCAATCACCCCGCCACCCGCCAGGGAGCGAATTGTGTCCCGCCGACCCCAGCTTGCTGACTCAGCAGGGCGGCTGTGTGGTGTTTGCCGGGGAGCAAGTGGTGTTTAAGCACGTGGACAGCGGCATTCTCCGGTACACGGATGTAGACGAGATTTTGAAGGCGGCGCTGCAGGCTGATTACGCGCCCACCACGTCGGTGGCGGCGGCTGCGGAGGTGCTGGAGGAGTGAGAGGGGCGGGGATGGAGAGGCTGATAGATGTATGTGATGTGGGAAGAGGCGGCGGCAGGGGATGAAATGGCTGGTGGCGTGGTGTAGGAAGAGGTGGAACAGGTGGCGGCGGCGAGTGGAAAGGATCGAGGGGGAGTTGAGTGGGATGAGATGTTGTGAGGGAGCAAACGACTGTCTAGTGGTTTCGGTGATCCTCCCGAAGTGTGCAGATTTGGGGAAATGGAAGGAGGGGGGAAGGAGCGCACACCAGGAGGGCGAGTTGGGAGAAACCGTTGTTTTCAGGCGCTGTGTGTGTCCATCAGGAGGAGACGTGCTGGTGTGTGGTGGGATTGTTTTCGTAAAAAAATTGTGGGTAGTGTGCAGGGAGGTCAGGGCCCGTCCAGTACAGCACAGGGGCGGTCAAAGGCTCCAGGGTGGTTGCTTGCATGGATGGGGGGGGGCCGACTCACCGCGATAGTCTGATGTGGTCCCTCCGTGACCCTGTGGTACCTTCTGGTACGTGCCCACCCGCGTTGGGAGCTGTGTGAGGGCGTTAGTGTGCACCGTGTGGCTGTCCATCCTGGGTTTGTCAACCTGCCTGCGGGGTGCTGTTTACTCTGTGTTTACTTCACGTGACTGCTGCTAACACCGCTGCCGATTGTATTATTATCACATACAGCTGAATGTTTCATGGTCATGAAATAGCGGAGCAAGAAGCGATATGTTGGCTAATCTCTTGTGTGTGTGTGTGACATGGCCATGGGGTTGTGTACCCCATGCCTGCAAACCGCCCAATACGAGCTGAAGGCTCAAGGGCTGCCAGATCGCCTATAAGCACCATCCTACCTCGCACTTCGGACAAAGCAAGCGATAAAGGAGACAAACGACCAAAGAGAACGATAGAGTTGCGGTGGGACCACATATGTTCCAGCATCCTTGCCAGACGTTCAGGTTCCCACTTCGTAGTGTCCTTGATATGCTCGAAGCGCGGAAAATCCAGGTGGGCAGTTGTTAGAACTTAGGGTCGGTCATGACTTTCTTGGGATGCAGGGGAGGTCATGCCTGGGATGGCCGAAGTACGGCACTAGGGATCCCCATCCCGTTGGGTGGTTGGTCTCCCCAGTTGGGGTTTTCCTTTTTCATGGTTGATGGCGCGTGTGGTATGTCCCACTCTGCTCCTTGGGGTGGCAGTGTGTGAGGTGGATTACTGTGATCCAGTGTACTGCCTGCACTGCCTTTGGAGGTGGGTAGATGCAGCGGTGGGTGGCCTCGCCTCGCCTCGTATCACTCGCCTTAGCGCCCCCTACCGCTATGCCCTGGTAGTTACTCGGCATGCTGGGGTCCCCCTTCTTGTGAATTGGGGTAGTTGTAAAATGTCATGGGAAGTCCCCAGCCGCCCTGATGTGGTCTAGAAGCACGTGCAGCACCAGAGCAAGCTAATTCACTTCCTGTTGTGTGATGTTTAATTGAGACACTTAAGCGTATGGGCGCATGCTTCTGTGCCGTGCTGGGTGTATGTGGAGACGGGATGACCAAAGCTCTTTAAAGATGGTACATGTTATATCAGCGGGGCCATGTGACGTGGGAGAGAAGGAGAAGATAGTATGGCATCGCGGTTGGAAGGCTTTTATGTAGGAGACTTCGCGGGCTGTACCTACAATAAATCAGCCGGCCCTTTTATTGTTTGTTTTGCAAGCGATGTGGAATGATGGTCTTTCTGCTCTCTAGTAATACGCCCCCGAAGAGTCATTTGTGCGCATTATCCTCGTTTTCAGCTGTTATATCGCAACTTCGGAAAAGTCCCGATCAGCGGATGCAGATCCCGTGATATGCCCAGAATACTACAATTATCCTCTTCTCGCTGTAGAGGACGTCCTCGACCATTAGTTTTCCTCACGGTCCCTGTGTGGTGGCAGCAGCATCCACATAGTAACCAGGGGTCGTGGAGCACATCACCTCCCGCTCAGTAGAAACCGCTTCATCTGCGATTCAAACCTAGGTCAAACTTGAGATACCTGCTCGATACAAATTGTTATACCACGATCTCAGAAAAGTACAATCGGCAAATGCAGATTCCGTGATATGCCCAGAATGCAACAGCAACAGCGGCACCGCAGGATAGGCCAGTGCCGTGTATGAAGGGGCACACGCAGCACCGCGACATCTTGCAGCCTAATCACTGCAATGATACTGATGTGTGCGTTCGTATGCATGCTATCATCCAAAGGTGCATCGAACCCATACGAGTCAAAACTCTAGGACCAGTTAACGGTTGCCTTGGTTGGAAGTACATTATGAACTGCACAATGTAACGTAATTAAATAATCACCAATATAGATGTGTGAAACAGGGGGGTATATCTTTACCCGTGGCAGCTACCCTGCGAAACCCTGCCTTCCCCGGTATTTCGGCGCACCCTCATCCAGTCACCCTAGTCAACTTCTCAGTGCATCGCTCAGGTTCCGCACCCACCACCACCATCCAACGGAATTTGCCGGGTCGACAGCGACCCAACTCCATTCCTGGTCGGCTCGCAGGTTAACTTTATCCCAGGTCACCACCATCCATCAACTAGGGGCACAATATCTTCCACCATCGGGATCTCCCGGGGACAATGGTTGCGCGTTACCAGTAGTGCCAAACCCACCAATATGTTTCACCCACCAGTAGATTCCACAGCCTAATACCATGACCTGATACGGCAACAATGACCCTATATGGCAGCAATCTACTGCATACCCAGTGCAAACTTTAGTGCGTGTACATTTGCATCATCATGTTACATCACATAGCCAGCTGGGGGTTCAGGAATGGTCTCAGCTCATTACTCATCCTTTGCCCCAAAGGTCCTTTCACATCCACCTGTGGCTGCGGAACGCCAAAACGTAAAGCCCTTTCCTTACTAACATCCTGCCACTGGGCCCCGGAACTCCCAGGCCCCGAAACTGCCAAATGACTCTGCAGCCCTGCCTTACAAGCCTTCAGTTTCTAGACCTCCTCCCTCTTTGCCGAAACCTGTGGCACTCTGTCTGCATCCAATACAGCGGTAAATCAGCAGGCGGCACAAAAGCCATCCTCTACAGACTGATGGCCAACACATACAGCAGCCATCTTCCCCAGCAGCATCTCCATCCTCAAAGCGGCTTGCGGCCACACATATCACAGGGCCACAGTCGCGCCAAATCTGAAAACTCATGACATCGGAAAAGCTGGAAGCTAACTGAAGTCGCCCAGTTTAATATCGTCAATGCGTCTGTGTCAGCTGCAGGTCGTTGCCGCCCTCACTGTCCCCCCCCGCAGCTACCACTTGCAGCACTTTAACCACCTCCGTCACAGAAGGGGTCAACAGCTGCGACCCCGCCGACCCTTCCGCAGTCACCCGCAGTACTGGAGCCACCGCCTGCCGTGAAGTATAGGAAGGGCAGTTGCGGTAGCGAAAGCGCAGGTAAGATGCAAAAGCGCTCGATAGTGATAGCAAGGGAGTCGGTCAGTTTGTGTACCAAGGGTGCTTGCAGAGCTAACAATCTTCTTACCCCGTCAGGGGAGTACACAATTCAGGTATCCTGCTCGGCGTGGTTGGGAAGTTGACAACCACCCAACCCACCTACCTGCCAGCCGCCCATGTCCAGGACTTTCTCCTTAAATAAGTGAGTCTGCCCAGGTTGCACAATGTATTCCTCCGTTATCTCCGTCTGCAGGCAAAACGTAACGGCGGGAGGCATCTTCAGTCAGTGCCTAACAAGCGAAATAAGACATCTCTCTTCAGAATAAATTGGCAACACATAGATAGATACGGATTGATTAAGGTCGATGCCGTTAAACTTCACGTCTGACGTCAGCCAAGGCTTGCGTAAGACAGCACCGAAAGAACGCAAGTGTCCCCACCTTGTCCTTATGGTTGTCAAAGGAAACTTTGAATGTTATAGGATGTTTGGTAGCATTGCGAGCCTCTACAGAGTCAACGCGTTTGGGTGGAGGCACCATTACTTGCGAGCCTTGTCCAAAATTACAAACTTATAACACTGGTGGCCGCTTCTCCATGAAAATCATATTTCCAATGTTTTGCATAGGTTGTAACATTATGTAGCACGACAAGAGCACAAGATGTTAAATGATGTACCAGCCGTACTGGCCAGCGAAATGTGGCCCCGCCCACAACGGATGCGTTGGGTAGTGGTAGGGGCAGGCGACGGCGGGAAGTGAATCAGGTTGCTCCGGTGCTGCACGTGCTTCTAGTCCACATCAGGACGGCAGGGGACTTCCCACGACAGTGAATGAGTACCGCCCTCACCTCAATTCACAAAAACGAGGACCCCAACATGCCGAGTAACTACCGGGGCATAGCGGTAGGGGGCGCCTTGGCGACTGCTACGCGCTTGTTGTGCTGGATAGGCTCATTCACATGCTCTATGGCATAAACACGTCTGTTACCGACCGTTTTCAACACTACCGTGGTTCATAAACCGAACCAACCGATTAACGATCGTTAAAGACACGTTACCCGGTCAGTTGGGTGAACTGTCAGTTGGGTGAACTGTCAGTTGGGTGAACGGTCAGTTGGGTGAACTGTCAGTTGGGTGAACGGTCAGTTGGGTGAACTGTCAGTTGGGTGAACAGTCAGTTGGGTGAACGGTCAGTTGGGGTAATGGTCAGTTGGGCTTGTGATGCGAGTGGTTGTCTTGATCTCAAGGTAAACATGGAGTTAGAGCAATCTAACCCATCTAGGCCATATGTGCACATCTGCCACCCCTGCCACCCAGTCATGTTACCTATCTAGGAATCAGCACAGCCTGCCACTCAGGCTAAACAGCAGTCTAGATGCTCATCTCCCAACCGTAGCATCACTACTACAACTATTCAGTCTCTCTGTGATTCATCAATGTTCAACGACGTGTCAACTGCCACCCTGCACATGCACACCGTTGTGCACATCATCCCATGACAGTGAGCTTACGGACACGCTTGTGCACATCACCATCACATGTGTAACCAGGCCTGCTCATCCTTGCAGCTATATAGATAGGACACTGTCCTATGCATGGGATGAAGTGGCAGATATATCTGTCACTACTTATCCTTACTTGTCACCCGCCCGCATTATCGGCAACATGTCAAAGAACACCAAATATAGTAGTCAAAAAATGCAGACCAGCAGGTCCTAGGACACCAGCACATCTGTACGTATAGATGTACGTACAGATGCATATCAGCCTAATGATATAGTCTGCTGCCAATCATTTTAAAAGTCACACACCAGCAGCAGCTGATGATGGGGTACACTAGCGGCCCCCACCCTGTAGGATTGCCCATGTCCGTGTGTCCGTGTGTCCGTGTGTAACGGACCAAACATAATATCTCGGCCGGTTGACACGCGTTATTGGTAATATATTGCATTCTCTATTGCAAGGTATCTCGCCTGTAGCCAGCAAAAATCGTATACACAAACAAGTTTGGCTGCCTTCATACCTTAATTTCCCGTATCATCTTCTCCTTATATTATAGTTTATTCAGCATCCTTTCTGACGCAATCAATGCCTGAAGGGGCACCGTAGGCAGTTTGTACGGTGCTGTACGGTGCTGTTTTCCGTGTGTGTTCGGGCTGCAGCACCAGACTGCAAAGCCAACAGGCTGAAGGCTGGCAAGCTGTGAATGTGTCTGCTGAGCATTGAGCATCCGGCCGGGACCACGACTTGGTGGCCGAGCCCCTGCTGTGTGCCGGTAACGGCACCTCAGACTCATAAGTTTACGCCCAAGCAAGGGGCTGTCGCAGACCTCCCGGTGGCAGGTCGCAGACCTCCCGACTACGTGTAACGGCCAATGACTCTTAGCCGTGTCTGCTAGGATCCAGAGAGGCACCGTCCATTGTCACCACCCAATCAATTGTCACACGTGCCACCCTAGCTAACGGCCTGTATGGATGCAGGGGGGCGCCGCCCTTTTTCCGGCTTCAAGGAAGCCGACACAGCTTGTCACACCTGCAGCTGCCTCTGCTGCTCCTGCCACACACAGGCCATACGTACCAGTATCAATTTGTTGTAAAGCAGCCACAGGGGTAGATATATGGGGGAGATGCTCTCAGGCACCGACGCCAAGGGTTTCAGAGGAGGGTTTGCTACTTCTAACCATCTCTTTGTCATAGCAGGCCATACCGACTAAGGAGAGTGCGCGATATCTAGGTTTTGTGCATGGGCCAAAATGGCCGTTTCTTGCCTGCAGTCAGCATTCGTACGACACAGCTAGGGCAGCTATGTCCAACGAAGTTAGATAAGCTGAAGTTGGTATCCTTAATCATACATACATGCATACATGCATGCGGGTTCAAATCCGCCTGCCGACTCGTTGGGTGTTTGAGGAGTGTTGAAATGGGAGGTGGCCCCCCATCTTATGGACGGTGTAGGACGTGATAATATCAACTTGCGAGCTGACCAGGAACTAAGTTGAGGCGCCGTTGATCCGCTAGGTTTGGTTGGATGCTGGTGGTGAGTTGCCGAACCCAACGAATACATTCTGGAATCGGATGGGGTGAATGGATTAAGGTGCCCCTCTCGCAGGGGAGAGCAGGGACTGCCTCGGGAAAGGGGGCCGCTGGTGAAGCTTAACCACCCTGTAACAACATACATACATTCATACGTGCTTAGTATGAAGGGCAGGGCTCGGGGGTTTATAGGAGTTCAAGGGGGATAGGGGTTGGAGGGCAAGGGAATAGGAGAGAAAGCCCCGAGGCGGGAGAGGGAGAGGAGTAAGGTGTAGAGTGGAGAGGGGCACGTAGTGTGGGGAGGAATCCTTTTTGGGCGGGGCCCCAGCGCGAAGCGCCCAGGGGGGCCCCGACCTGTAGGATTGCCCATGTCCGTGTGTGTGTGTGTGTGTGTGTGTGTGTGTGTGTGTGTGTGTGTGTGTGTGTGTGTGTGTGTGTGTGTGTGTGTGTGTGTGTGTGTCTGTAACGGACCAAACATAATATCTCGCCCGGCTGAAACGCGTTATAGGTACTATACAGCATCCTCTATTGCAAGGTATTTCGCATGTAGCCAACAAAAATCGTATGAGCACAAACAAGTTTGGCTGCCTCAATTGACCGAGGCCAAAGTCACATCAACGCCTCTCGCGCTAAATTTAATCTCAAAAGGTACCGCGTATCTCATATTTGAATTCTGAGATGACGGCGTATGATAACTCGAACTCCCAGGCCTTGAGTGTGTAACGGACCAAACATAATATTTCACCCGGCTGAAACGCGTTATCGGTACTATACAGCATTCTCTATTGCAAGGTATCTCGCATGTAGCTAACAAAGACCGTATGAGCACAAACAAGTTTAGCTGCCTCCATTCACCGACCTCAAAAGTCACATCAACGCCTCTCGCGCTAAATTTCATCCCGAAAGCTGCCGCGTATCTCATAATGGAATTCTGAGATGACGGCGTATGATAACTCGAACACCCAGCTTGCGTTACCATTTGCCGGCATGGGCAATCCGACTTGCCACCAGCAGGCCAACATAATTTGCTTTCACTTCTCTATGAAATACACAAGCTGCTTGTTTGTACATTTACTTTGGCCAATGCACGGGGCCTCCGAAGACTTGCGGTGTGCCGCGATGAAGCTCGCGGCTGTGGGGCGGATTGCTTAGGCCGCTGGCGCTTCGGGGATAAACATCACAGACAGCACCGAACTTCACTCAGCTTGCGTTACCAATTTGCCCGCACGGGCATTCCGACTTGCGGTCTGCCGCACTGTCCATGCGGCATGCACCCGGGATGGATGCGTTTCGCGTGGAGCGCGCAGGCGGTGCTGACGATTTCGCCGGTGCAAGCTTAGCTCCCACACCATCAGTACTGCTGCAATAAAGCCACATCTCCCACCGCAGTGACACTACCCATCAATTGTCACACGTGCCGTGCTAGCTACCGGCCTGTACGGATGCAGGGGGGGCCCGCCCTTTTTCCGGCTTCGAGGAAGCCGACACCCGACTTGTTCCTCCCAGTGCCGCTCCGAGGTTGTAGGGTGTTGGAGAGCCCCGGGGGGGTGGGGTCACTCGGATAGGGAAGGGGGAAATGGCGGTGTGAGCGCCAAGAGGACGTAGGTTTACTGGGGTTCGGGAGGTTGAGTTCTGGTGGTAGCAGTGGGGCTCGGATGCGGGGGAGTTGTGGCCCGAGGTGGGCCATTTTACTTAGGCATGTCTTCTCTGCAGGACTGGGTTGCTTGGTGAGGGACGAGGGTGAGAGCGGTGCAGTACGAGGCAGGGTGAGTAGGTTTTGGAGGACCAACCGTTCCGATTTAGTGACGGTAAGGGGGAGGCGCCGTGCAGGCTACAATCCTCCCCCTGCGGTATTCTGGAGGGCCTAGGAGCTGTGTGTCGTGACAGCACTATCCCTTTGTGGTCTCACCAGTCTATCCCGGGCTCCTGCAGTGGTGGTCGGGCTTGTGTGTGGTCTATTTTCTTTGTACGGCTACTTATCCCCTGGACCAGCCCAGGAAGGGAGAGGTGGTGGAGGTCAGTTGTTGTGAGGTGGCTGCAAGACGTCTTGTGGTTTCGAGCTCTCTAAGCCTTTCTCTCTTGGAGGTTTTTTGTTGGCTTGTTAGGTGAATAAGGAGCCCTCCCCTACCTGGGCTGCCCTAACCGTTTTTTTTCTTTTTTGTATTTTTCCTTGGGATCCATTTGTTGGTGGTTGTGTTTTGGGGAGTGGTTTCAGAGAGCCTTTGCCTTTGCCCTAGCTGAGACTCACTGTAGCGGGACCTGAGAGCCCTTCATGATGTATTCACTGCAGCACCATCCCAGGATGGAGGGGCTGTGGAGTTGCTGCATAGTGTGTTGGCAGTCTGAGTCGGAGCGCACAACACTAACCGACTTGTGCTATGTGCCCCCAACCCTTGCGCTGTGTTTGGGCTTCGGCCCCCAGCTCTCGCGGCCCACAGTGTAATCGTAGTTTAACGTGTACTTTAACAGTGCAACGTATGCCATCGTTTCCTGTGCAGCCTGACCCGGGGGCGGAGTGCATGAGACTAACCAGCCGTGTGCATCTGCCCCCCACGCTGTGGGT